AATGCGGCCGTCGCGCCCATAAATGGTAGCGTCGCCTCGGTGAAGGATGAATTCTATCACCCACTAAACGTATTCCGCCGCTACAGAAAAAGTACCGATATTGTAGTATTGGCTGGTGATTTGAACGCACAAGTTGGAAAACTGCTCACTGATGAACTGCATTTGGGTGGCCAACACGGTGTAGGCTCTCGTAATGATAACGGTGAGCAGTTGCTACCCCTGGGTGAAAATGCTCGTTTATTTTCCGCGAGCACGAACTTCCGACATATCAACCGCCGGAGGATCATATATTGCCCATCAACATCGTACTAGCTGTGGACGCTAATCGACCACATCGCAATCGGTTACCGTTGGAGAGACTGTGTCCAACACTGTCGCTCGATTTGGAGCAAGAGCGTAGACTCCAAACACTCTTGTGTTTGCCGAGCTGCAGGTGAATTTCGGCGGACGTCCGCAAGGACGCAGCGAGCGCGTGGATAACTGCTAACTGGTGAAGTCAGAGGTTCTGAATGTCTATTAAATTACACTGGCATCCGACCAGAGCAAGCGCTCTGATCACAGCTGACGATCACTGGTGGTATATTCGCCATACGTCATTAGCAGCATGCATGTTTTCACGTGGCAAATGACATTGCCAACCTGGGCTTTGGATCACTACTACTCTGGATCAGTACTACTCTGGAACTTATCGATGCTTGCCGACACATTCCGACTGGGAGCGAACACAACGAGACTCGCAAAAACCCCAGGACAAACTGCCTGTTAGCCTGACGAAAAACCGCGAGTGCTGGTGATCTCATCATGCATCGGAGATGGAAATGGCTGCTGTCCTTGGTTACCACCGGAAAGTATTCCGTCTGATAAAGGAAACGGGTAGCAGGAGATCCAGTGTTAGCGAGGCCATACGTAACGAGGGTGGACAGTCGATCCACAGTATGTCAACCCGTTTGCAGCGTTGGGCCGAACGCTTTGAAAAGCAGCTTAATCAGCCAAAGTTTACAGCTTCTCCAACGGCCAATGATCGCTCTGCTCCCTGGGCTGTTCTCATGGACCAGCTTTCACGCGTAGACGTCGGACGTGAGATCAGCCTGCTGAAGGCGAATAACGCCACAGATAGACCACACCCAGCCCTCTTCAAATACGAAGGACCTGCCCTTGGGGATGATTTGCACAATTAACTACTAAAGCTGTGAGAGCAAGAAACTATCCCAGTAGACTGGAGCCGATCCGCAATACTCACAATTTTCGAGGGTGTCTCAGGTTCGGAATACGACAATCATAAAGGAATCAATGTTATCTCAGCTGCGTATAAAACACTTGCCTCTGTCGTTCTGCATAGACTTAATGGCACCGGTAAAAGACAGATTTATGAAGAGCAAGCCGGGTTTCGTCGAAGTCGCGGCTGTGTTGATCATGCCTTCGGATTGCGACTATTGTTGAAATACCGCCATATTTATTGGCGAGCAAGCGTAGTCGTGTTCCTAGATACCAACGGTGCCTACGATTTGGTGGATTTATGTGTCCTTTGGAACTGTCTATTCAGGTAAGGTATCCGAGAAATACATAAATATTATCAGAGCGATGTACACGCATAGTGTGGGCAGTGAGAGCTATTGGCAAGCTGTCGCCGTCCTTCAATACCTCTGTCAGTATGAAACAAGTTTGCCCACTGTCATCTTTCCTTTTTGACGTCTCCATCGACTAAGTCATGGAGACTGCGTTCACTGTGCACGGCTTGCAAGACGTGGAACTGCTCCTAGCTCATCGATTTCTCGACTGAGAGTATGCCGATGACATCGCCCTAATCTGTGACAGCTCCCAAACATGCCAAGCAGCACTGGACAAAGTAACACTGGCTGTCAAGCGTTTATGGTCATGCTTTGTACTTTCGAAACGCAAAGCCCTCCCCCAAGATTGGCAGGTACCCAACCCTGTGCTGTCACTTGGCGGAGACCAGCCATAAATTGTCTAGAAATTCAAATGTTAGCAGCGATATCAGCATTTGTGGGATCGAAGATGAGAACACGACAGGGCGACAACACTCTCAACCTGAAGGGTAGAGTTTACAGCCGTACGTACAAACCTCCTGAACGGTTGTGAAATCGGCCTACCAGGTCGACAGACATAAAGAGACTCGCCGAATTCGACCATCGCTCCTTTCGCGGTATAGCTCATGTCTCGTGGAAACACCACGTAAACAATGAGCGTGTTAAGCGTCGCGTATTTGGTGCAGGAAGAGTTAGTGAATCGCTCAGCACCATTATATCACGCATCAAGCTCCGATGACTTGGTCATATGCTATGCATACCGGCACACCGATTCCCGCGACGTGCATTGTTTGTGCGCCGGGGATGCGGTTGGAAGGAGGATCGAAGGCCAGTCGATAACTTGGTCAAGAAAATGAAAACCCTCACTAAGAAACTGGCGTCGGTTGGCACATCCCGACTGCCTGGATGGGGTCCTAAGGACGATTAATAAGTTTGGTTGGACAAACCTGTCTATACGGCTTGGAGCCAGCCCAAATGGCGTTTATGTTGTGAGTTTCTTTGTCCATCCCCTCCCTTTTAGATTCCATCTCCAATTCAGATCTCATACAAAACGCATAATATAATATTTAACATAAATTACTTGCTTGGAATCTTGTTCGTAGCGTAACTTTTTCGCCTCTTATCTGCTTGTATTGCGGTACATTAGCTGAGATGTGTTTCTCACCCTCAACTAACGTGTTTTGATGATGATGATGAGGAGGAGGATGATAATTATGATGGGGATGGTGATGACAGCGCGTGTGTTCAGACAGAAACTGAAGTCACTGGTGAAATTCTTAGCAAAACACGAGACGTTTGGGTTCTTACATACTTGGATATACTGAGTAGAATCGCAAAAGGGAGGACTGCCGCACGCATATATACTAATATGGCTCCATAACAAATCTCCACCCCTCTCCACCTACGATCTCACAAAATGCCTAATAAATCCCCCAATACTTATATATATATATATATATATATATATATATATGTATATGTATATGTATATATGGATGGCGGCATCCGGTTTCGGATTTGCCGGTCACTGTGGCCAGCCACAGGACGCCTGCGCCTACAGAGGGACCATGGGTGACTTGCGCTGCACCACCCACAGCACCAGCCACACACCCCATATCCAGTGTAAACCCGAAGGACTAAGACGGGGAGGCATGTGGATGGGAGCCACGTTTCATCAACAGAGCCGGCCCACACTCCTTCACAGACAAACACAAGCACACTGTATTTGGGAATCAAGCGCACACAAGACGGTGGCTGGACCGTAGTCCGCTACACACTGAGTGCATGGAACCACTCTTCGAGCCTAACACGACCACAAGGACTGTGCACCCCGTCCCCTCCAGCAACGACAAACTGTCTCGTGGAGCCAATATGGACGAGGTAGTGGGTAATAGACACGTAGGCACCTTGTCAACATGCACATCAAGCGCAGCCACACCGGGGATATCAAACAACAGCCAATCACTTGTGTGAAAGAAGAAAAAAATGTGTCAGCTTATACGCCGTAACGGCGCTTCGCTGCCGCGCGACCACCACCAGTCGCGCGCGGGCTGAGTATACCGCGAGGACGCCCACCCCTACGCGGATTCGAACCGGTGACCTTATGGTTGGAAAGCAATCGTGCCAACCACTCGGCCACCGGCCGACTTGTGTGAAAGACAACAAATAAAATAATTTGTCTGCAAACGAATTCGAGATAAGTTCACGAGGTCAGGAAGTATGTTTTACGGAAATGTCACAAACACGAAATGTTATCGAAATTAACTACAATTGGCTTAAGCGACGTGTGCAAGTTTAGAGAAGAGGGTACAGGTAGACATTCATATGAGAAAAAAAAGCATTTAGGCAAAATTGAAAACCCACCACCTGAAATAAATAGACTTGGCATCCAAGCACGTGGTTAGTAAATCAAATGCAGCGTACCTACAAAAGCTGCACCGGTTCTGCCTACGTTCACTGCAGGACCCTTCGTGGTGGTCCCGAGTGGCCTCGCTCATGGCTCACTAGGACTGCCTGACTCAGACACTCGCGACCGCATGTTTTACAGCACCATGCGCTCGTTGTCGATGAAGTACAACCCATCGGTGCTTGCCGCTTCTTCTCTGCATGTATGAGGTCATTCTCCCGCACTTCGGCAACTGCCTTCGTGATTAGATCACGCCATGCACGCCGATCAACCGCCTTCGATTCCCATGATCTGCAATCAAGATTAGAACGTGAGAGGCTCACTTTGATCATGTCCTGGTAACGTAAGTTTGGTTTCTCCACATGCCGCTTCCCAATACTCAGCTGACCATATAAGAGTTGTTTCGGTATCCGCGTCGAATCCATCCGGCTCACATGACCGAGGCTCTTCAGGTGTCTCAGAAAAAGTATGCCGTCTACTGCATACATCCCACTTCGGCGCAAAACTTCCGTGTCTGCAACTCTGTCGCCCCAGCCGATCCGCAAAATTCGTCACACACACACTGCTGATGGAACCGCTCGAGATATCGCACATCCCACCGGTACATCGTCCACATTTCACTGCCGTATGGAAGAACGGACAGCACCATGGATTTGTACACCATCAGCTTCGTGCCAATGGTAAGCTGATGGTTGTTCCACACTCGGTACTCAAGCTTCCCGAATGCCGCCGCTGCCTTCGACACGCGGCTACGCAGCTCACTGTGTATCAGCTGATTAGTGGACATCACAGTCCCATATATATATATATATATATATATATATATATATATATATATATATATATATAATAATTCTGCAACGTGTTGTATCAGGCTTGCTCATATATATAACCTGTTTGTTTTCCGGCGCAATAGTCGGAGTGTGTCTCACACCTTCAGCTATCGTGTGTTGATGCTGATGAGACACCCAGTGATGGTAATGATAACAAATGAAAATGGCCAACAAGATCGAAGAAACATCACGAAGAGATGGTCACAAACTCACGTGATCATATGATTCACTAGTCTGTCATAGTAAAACCTGCCTGTGAAAGATGGTAGAAAGGAAACGAAATGCGATGTGACGAGTAATGGTTAAGTAGGAAAACTGGGCGCATCCTGCCGGGTGAGAGTGGAAGTGTCTCGTAATAGCTGCATGAAAGACTGTGTGGTGACCAAGTGGCCATGGATTGTCTTCAGCTAACGGATTAAAGCAAATAGCTGACAAATTGTGCAAAAAGCAACACATTAGTGATGATGTCAAATATACAGAATGAAATGACTGAAGAAATATGTTGGTTTTGTACGATGACCGGAGGCACCGCTTTGGCCTAAATTGGAAGTCCGCAATATATTTCTCCGTCCATATGGCACGGTTTGTGAAATGTTACAGAGAACGCGCGTCCTCACGAGATCGTGTAGTATATGTCAAGTAAGCAATGCCACCCTTGCACTCATCGGAATAATGTGAGCCCGCATGTTACGCTAGACCCACGCTTTCTAACGTTTGAATGCACAGACAATGCTAATTAGATGTTCACATACATTGACTGCGTCAGGATCAAATCGAGGTCGGGCAGTTTTGTATTCGCCTTCTGTCGAGTCGTGAGAGTACTCTACCGAACACATGACTTCGCCTACCCTCCCAGTTGGGTTTGGGGTGTCAGTGGTGTGCACTGATTCATTACGTGTGGAAACAGTTCCGACAGAATCGTGTCGTTCATATCGGAGGTAGCCTTCGCAGAGATTGCATCGCTCGTTCCGACTAAGCGAGTCGTTAAAACTAAGCCCCTTTTAACCATGCCTGATTTGATGTACCTCGATGAATTCGAGAATAAACTATTTATTTATTTATAGTAAATTGGCGACGGAGTAGTTTCGAATCATACCAGATGAATACGCCGGATTTGAAATCGATGCTACAACAGCAACTCATGCTGATGTCCTTTTTAACCGATACGCTCCAGTCTTCTATTGTCAGAACCCGTTGGTGATTTCGAATCGGCGGACTGTATCGCTAGCAACACCGGGTTCCCGAACTATCCTAACGCGCACGCGTCCTACGGTTCTTGGTATAAGTAGTACGAGGACCTGTTCATCTTCGACTTGACCGGCTAGGATGACGCGCGGAAGGTCCGACTGTTTCTTCGCGAATTGAGAATGGTAGAGCACCAACGTTATACCAACTTCATCCTGCCAAAGAACCCCCGAGAGGTTATCTCAGCCTAGACGATTAGGACGTCGTCACAGATATTTAGCAAACATCCCTCAACGTTTGGCATCAGGTTCCAATACCTCCAGCTGGTCAAACGTGATGCCGACGACTTTATCACGTACACCGGCATCGTCAAACGTAAATGCGAACGATTCCAACTCGGATTGCTCACGGAAGACCCATGCAAGTACCTGGTCTTAATCTCTAACCTTTAGGCAACCCAAGATGTCAAGATCGGGACGCGCCTCCTATTCAAGATGTAGCAGGACAGTATAGTCACACTCCAGAAGCTGGTCGAGGAGTGACAAATAGGTGGAAATCTGAAGCATGACTCCGCGATGATACAGAACGCATCCGCGCCTGGTCTGGTCCAGGTGGTTTCTGCACCCAAGCTGCAATCATTCGGGCGGTCGACCCAACCCAGTAGAGCGACGTCCCAACCATTTTCATGCCGATTTTGTGGAGCCTGGCATTTCCACCGAGACTGCAACTTCCACCAGTACTGATGTCACGGATTTGGCCGGGTGGGACATTGTGATGATTTCTGCAAACCTCTGTCAACCAAGGAAGCTAAAACTGAGTTGCTCTCCACCCACAATCCAAAGCCCAAAATGGGTACGGTCGGCAGTTCCATGAGACTGAAGGTAACATTCCAAGTCAACGCTGCTGACCGCAAGAAATTCGTAGATGTCATGACCAACGGTCGGTCTATCCGATTACACCTGGACACTGCCTTGGAAATCACGATTATCACCGAGGGTCTCTGGCGATCCATTGGCAAGTCAGTATTCTGGTCGATCTCGCAGTGCCTGTGGTAGTCGCACGCAGCTGCACTGCGCCATCTCCCTTTGTGCACCACATTAGACAGGATCTGTTGAATCGCAGAGGCGAACCTCGATCTACTTGGTCACGATCAGCTCGGAAAACTTAGGTTGGCCGATCTGCAGTGCGCTACGATCTCCGGCATTATTGATTGACCAGATCAGTGACATCAGCAGATAGTTCGCCCAAAGTCGCAAGTAATCCTGATGATCAATACTCACCCCGGTCTTCTCCAGTACATCAGGCTTCCGTTTGGTGTCAAGACTCACCAGCCTTCTTCCAGCAAACGATGGACGATGTTAGGTATTCCGTGTAATGCGGCATACCTGGACTATCTTCCTATTACTGGCAGCACCTAAAAAGAGCTGTGCTAGTGCCTGTTTGCTGTCTTTCGATACACTCAAAGTTAAGGTTTCTGCCTGAGGAACAAAAATTTTCGATGTCTCCTCCGGTCGACCAAGTACCTAAGGTTCGTCTTAGATGACCGCCATTCTGATCCCGAAAAGGTCCGGGCCATTCAGCAAAGAGTATCTTTTCCGAAAACTCATCTCAGCTGCAGTCCTTCCTTGGACTCATCAGCTACTAAAGGGTTTTCCTGTCGTCGTCAGAATCCCGCTCAATCAGCGACTGCAAAAGAACCTCCTTGGCACTGGTCCGCTGCAAGCGAAGGTTTCGTACGCCTAATATTGGCGGTGAGTTCTGACCTACTAAGATGCACTACGACTCATTTCCACTGTTAAGCCCGAGTGAAATCGGAAATGAGTGCAGACCACAGAAGTATATCGTGAGACCAATTAGGCATACATGCGTGCAAGAGTATGGTAGGTACGCAAAAGTAGCAGTACGCGCTGAGTACTAAGTCGGTGTTTGATTAGACAGAGATAGGATAGGCCAATGGATGCAGTAACAAAGTACGCACTTACGTATTGACGCGCACACATGCGCGCAGGTATACACAGCGCAGTCGGCCAAGGTAACGCGTAGGCGGTCGGTTTAGAACGCATCACTGCTTCCTCCCTGTGGCTACAACTGTCCTGCCTGAAAACGGCCGACCGGCCGCGGATTACCTGTGCAGCGGAGCTTCAGTCCCAAGTGAGCAGTAAATCACACGCATGTCGTCCAACACTGTAGGTCGGAGGTTTGGCTTAAAGACTCATTCGGAATTCGACAACCTTGGCCGCACGTGATCCAGGTAAAGTTGCACGACCTTGTTGTCCCCAGTCTTTATAATTGTGGACTGTTCGTTGACTCTCTTAACAACAGATGCCCGCCTTCCGAATTCTGTAGGCAAACGTATGTAGATTGGATCCGACTGTTGCGAGCGTTTCTCCACTGGGAACATCAAAGCGTTCTTTCGCTCGTTCGTGTTTAGTGAGGACTTCAGATCCCAACTACCGTGCAGTAAGTCAAATCGCATACACAGACGACGGCTGAACATTAGCTCTTCAGGATTTCTTCGGGTGGTGTGGTTCACCATGTTTCGGTAAACAAAAAAGACACTATTCGAGCGCACACGCTGGTTTAAGTGGCATAATTTTAAATGTTTGCACGGACCTCTAAGCCAAACCGCTTGAACACAGATGGAAAACTCGGCAGTGATAAACACAGATCCGTTATCCGACACCAGTGTTTCGGAGAGTCCAGAGGTAGCGGCGAATGCAGTGCGTAGTTTGATTATTGTACTAGCCGATGTCGCATTGGAGAGAATGTGGGCGTAAACCCACTTAGAATGAGCATCAATAACTAACAGGATCATCTGACTTTCGAATGGACCGAAAAAGTCTATGTGGACACATTTTCAGGACGTTACTGGCCACTTCCAATGCTACCTTGGTACGCGAGGGGTAGCGTTTCGAGATTCTTGGCAGAGAATGCAACACCTAACGTTGGCCGCAATATCACCATCCAATCCGGAGCACCGTCTATAGAAACGAGCAAGTGACTTCATTTTAGTGGCTGATGGGTGCGCGTTGTGAAGTTGTTCCAGGATGGTTGATCGTAATCTTGTAAGAACCAAGACGCGTGCACCACACAGCAAACATCCGTTTTGGTGACTGAGTTCAGTCCTCCTATTGTGAGAAAGCATAAGTTCTGCAGGTGTGTTTTCAGGCCATTTAACGTGGATGTAACGCTTTACATGCGCTAATAACGAATCACTATCGGTCCCCTGGCGTATACCTGTGGATGTGATAGGGGTCTTGTTGAACAACTGAAATTAGATTTACAAGAACTTGCGTAGTAAATTCCATCAAAAGGACATCTGGTAAGGGAAGTCGACTAAGGACATCAGCGGTGCTATTCCGTCGGCCAGAGATGTACTAAATTTGGTATGCGTAAGCGGATGGAATGATGGAACAGCAGAAGCTTCGGAGTGAGACAAGTGGTTGAATTCTGTTATCGTGTCGCAGAAGCGAGAGAAAGGGCTTATGATCTGTGTGAGTCCTCGAATTCCGGCCAAGCAAGTACTGGTGGAATCGATTAGCACGGAAAGTAACAGCAGCTGCCTCTCGATCTAGTAAACAGTAGTTCGCTTCGGCTGCAGTTACGGTTGATCGCTATGATGCATCAGACAGTGTGCGTGTGTAGCCGAAATATGTACCTTTTTATCTGCGCAAACTGACTAGCATAGACGGGATGATTAAAACAAGTATCTGATAGGAACCAAGTGAAAATACTCAAATTAGCAACAAGGAACTGAACGCGTGAGTGCAGAGAAAGTGGAGGCAGCACTAGTTAGTTAAGTGAGAAGAGACGCAGCAGTGAGCTATAGACATGATACATAGGTGGAATAGAAGTGTACGAGGGTTAGTTGTAGTATGCATTACGCGTGGAATAGTTCATGGGATGATCAAGTATCAAGGTGGTACAAGGTGGAATATCTTGCTCTGGTGTTCGATACATAGAACTAAGTCTATGTATAGTAAAAATGTGCATATACAGAACGTGTAAAGCGAGAACATGAGGTTGTCAGAATTCCGAGGTGAGGTTTTGGTCTACCATATTGCTAATGCAACAGCGCAAGAGAAATCCGCATCCGTCAGAAAACATACTGTATACCTTTATGTTCTTCATAAAACGACTGTGCTTGGCATTTGGATAAACGAAACACGCCGTGACACACAACGGTAAGATCCGATTCGCGCATTTTGCTTTCGACATACTAGAACAGAGCGAAATAATAATCAAAACTTGTAGCAGACATGATTGTGCGAACAAGTAGGTATATTGCCAGATTTGGTTAAAATGCCGTAGAGAATAAACAAAACTCTCAAACGAAGGAAATGACAAATTCTAACGAGAAGAACTAACCGCTGTCTAGTTTCCACATGAGTGGAAAAAGGAGAATGACTTAAAAGTCTCAGAAAAGTAATATAATCCTTAATCCGCGAGACAGAGCTAGCCCGTGGCCGGAGGGACAAAGCGTCTGCCTTGCAACCCGAAGGTCGCGGATTAGAGCCTGCGTAGGGGACCGGGTGACCCTCGCAGTAGCCTCAACCCAGATTTGATAAAAAGTGTAAGTAGAAAGTTATGCCAGAGAGCAAATATGGCAAAAACTGCTGTAAAGTGAAGAACCACCCGGAATTGAGTAGAGCAAGCTGTTTGACTCGCTTCAAAATAAGGCCAACATATGGTGGTGACTAATGAGTACGGGCGGGTACAGCCGTTAGTACAATATCATTTTTCAGTGGAAAGTGGAATTGAAAGGTGAAATTAGCCATTTGACGAATAAGCTAGCTATAGGTTGAAAAGTCACATGGCGAATGCTTGGGAATACAGTTTGATGATCACGAAAACTCCTAACTCTTTTCTTATGCGCAAGACTGAGCTCCTGTCTTCATCCAAATCACAGTCAGTTAAGATAGCAATGTATCCCGGAGTCAATGTGGGTTGAGGCATACGGAGCAGAAAGCCAGAATTCTCAAACAGAATGTTTGCACGCCTAGGTGCAAAGTGTCCATAGGTGGCATTTGTTCTATGTGCTCGAATGCTGTTGAGAAAATAGGTGGAAGTCGATGCTACAGTCATGTAGGAGTTCCTTTAGTAGACAGGTATTGATGCGGCTCGCCAAGTAAGAAAGTGTTAACGAATGAAATAAACTGCCGAGTAGGATAACTCTGGTGCCTCGCCAGCTGATCCGGTGTGGTACTAGATTAAAAGTAAATGCTTGACTACCAACCATCAATGGTCAGAGATAGGCAGTATTGATAAGGAGCACGAGGAATGTTCCAGCAATATGTCAGTATCCATGTACTCGATGAGATGCAGCTGGCCTAAACAGCGCACCAATGGCCGCTGGAGACAGTGGGTGGACGCAATGTGGAGATCAAACGTATGAACAGAGGATGCGACACGTGCGTTCAAACAGCAGCTCGGCAAATTACGGAAGCGCATTATTGATTAACATATGACTGTGGCCAAAAACAGCACTAATAAGATGCGTGCCGTGACAAGGGAGGAGCAAACGGGTAAAATGATCTTGAGATGTCAGATGTCAGTGAATACTGCATGGTCAATATGCATTAGGTATAGTTATAAAGGGAATACAATTGGAGTAAGAAAAATGGTATGTAAAGGGGAACGCGAAGTAGGTGGGATGTGAGCGGAGGAAGTGACAGGTTCCTTCTATCGAATGTGTTCGATGTAGCCCAGTGCAAACAATATCACGTGCAGAAGCGTTGGTAAATAAAGAGAAAAACCAGCAGTCTAGTGAGCCACATGACAGAGAGCAGAACACAGCGACCCGATGGAAAGCTGCGACTTACCTGCTGATAAACGGTAAATCGCTGAACATCTGGCTTCAAAATCGCCAGCGTCAGTTGGCTGAGGCCTCGAGTCATCGGCACTAGTGCAATAAAATGATTAACAGAGAAGTATAGCATATGACCAATAAGGCAGCAATTTACGCCTGGTGAGTCAGATGTATACTTGCACTGAAAGACACGTGGCAAGAACAAGATGCGGTAAGTGACGGAATAGATGTAATTACCAGATGGAGTGACAACCACGGGAAAACAAAAAAGGGTGTTGGGAACGGAGGGCCATTGTTTATATTTAGTGAGTGGAAGTAATGACCTAATGGTGCGGTTGTGTGCGGCTAGAAGTGATGCCGTGAGGGAACAAGCATCATTAGAATGATAAAGCATTCATGTAAGAGAAGGAAGAAGCACGGGCACGCTAGATAGCTTGCACAGAGAGAGCATCAGCAGCAGGACGCCGGTACGCAGTACCGACGCTTCGCTGTCGCGCAACCACCAACAACCATACGTGGACTAAGGATACTGCGAGGGTCGCCCGGTCCCTACGTAGGCTAGAACCCGCGTCCGTGGATTACAAGGCAGGCTTGTGATCCTAGCCATAGGCCGACTAGCTTGCATCAGAAAGGGGAAGATAGGCCCATCAAACGCAGAGACGGTGTAATGGGGAGGGGCAGTTGCTGGGGTCAGACTGCTCAAATCTAGCACCGCGACACCACAATGTACCATAAACTGTCGAAACTTCTGTTTTACGGTGGGGCGACGAGCTCCTAGTGACGGGCGGTCTAGTTGACACAGGAAACAAAGGTAGAATATGAGGAAGAGATAGGTGAATCAGGTGCTATTTTGTGGCAGCGAGAAGGAGCGCCCCACAAATGTATTCCGGAGAATGCGATGAATGAGATGTCGAGTAATATGATGTTGCATCGGAGCCCGAGCAAACTTGCTGTGCATGCTAGAGCCCTCATGAATGAAGCGAGGTAGTCAACGAAAGACACGGAAAGGCACAGCGTTCACATGTCAAATTCACATTGGTATACTGATAGGGTTAGCCGATATCACAGTCCCACAGTCAACTGAGTTCCATTGCGACGACAAAAACAACAAAAAAGAACAGGTTGGACATCTTTTGAAGCGCATCCCAATTCACAAATTGCAAGTGGGATGCTCTCGTCAGAGGAAGACGAGAAAGAGTGCAGAATCCTGTTGTGCAGTGAGTGAACGAGTAAAAAGATACCCCATCTGGTACAGGCACAGAAGCGCTTCCAACATAAAGGGTGACAGAGATAGGTGCATAGATAAAAGAAAAAAGTGAAAGAAACTCGTAGCCACGTGTAGCACAGCCGGTACACAAGCTCAATATGGGGCCCAATAAAGCAAAATCGACTTCGAGGACAGTGGATGATCAAAGCGACGGAATTATGCGACAGAGGCGACAAACCATCCCCGGACAGAAAGACATACATGCGCTGCAAAGATAGCGATCTGGAGGCCTCGTGCGACAGTCCATGACAAACCTGAGAATTTGTGTGTTGTAACACGGGCTTCAGTTCCCATTTTACTGTGACAGACGGTGGGTGACTGGAAACGAATGAAATTGAGGATATGTTTGCGCTTACACGTGAGTTACGGATATGGATGCATGTGCGAAAATCCTGGGGGCAAAAGCCCGTTGGTGCGTGCAAAGCAGGCGCCTTGAAGCGAACAGATTACAGGGGAGAGCACATCCCCATGACCATGTAACCGGATTTAGAGGAACACCGTGTTTGTAGGTAGCACCAGACGGTAACTGCATCATATCAAAAATGTATTAGGTTGATGCATAAATATTGCGGTTTTTAATAAATATTTCATACAAGGAAAATCATTCTGAAATAACCATTCAGGAACATATCCACCATTTGCTTCAATTACTGCTTTCTGTTTGCTTGGCAAACCGATTCCACGGTCGAAGACGAAAACACCGCGTACAAAGAACCATCTAGTCTTCCATCATGATAACGGACATCCACATGATGAGCGTCGTGTCACCGAACTTATCGCCGATAAAGGTTGGGAGCTGCTACTTTGTCTGACATATTCTACAGAAGTGCCTATGGATTATCCCGTGTATCAATCGATGTAAAATAGCTCGCAAACAATCTTTACGACGAGTTTGATGACTTAGTGACTGCCGTCAAAGAGGGGATCGCTTCTAAGACCAGAAACTCCTTGGCCCGGGGAATCAAAGGCTACCAAGCAAGTGAGGAGCAGTAATTGAAACACATGTTCCGAACTAATCATTTAAGTATGTTTTTGTTGGTTTTATGGAACAAATACTATTAAAAATGCGTCAGTAATTGTGAAGCAACCTAATATACTTGGACAACACATCGTTGCGCCAGCGATTGAGAGGAGCAACGGGACACCTTCCCGCCGAAATATTATCACAGTCCAAAGAAGCCCACCCGTTCAGTAAGAAGTGTCAAGACTATGCGAAGCCTAGACTAAGTAGTCGCACGAGTTTGGGCAAGAAACTGAAGGCTAGTAAACCTATACCATACGTAAGGTCTGTGCAGAGAAATTAAAACATAAACTCCTGTTACCGTGGGTATAGTATAGGTTGACTAGCCTTCAGTTTCTTGCCCCGTCTCATGCGACTACCTAGTCTAGGCTTCAGATAGTCTTTCCATAGTTGAATAGGTTCGCAATCGTAATAGGAAAGGGCAGAAACAGTAAGACGTGCTGCAGCGTGGCAAAACGGTAAAGCGTATCAGTTTGCTAATCGGCAGACTGTCAAGGATGAAATGTTTGACCTTGAGGAGTCAAGGATATGTCAATAATGCGAAGTGAAAAGTAAAGTGTTTCATAATGAAGTGTTATGAAAAAAACGTATAAATTTATGTAAGGATATAAGTGAAGGGTTTGGAAAAGATGGATATTATGTCATCAATAGGTTTGGCTGAATATTCAAAGTTTCCTTTGGACTTTATATGAAGCATGATGCCATTAGCAAACCAAGTGATGACTCAGGGAGAGAACTTGAATTTACGTACCAAGAAACACTCAACACAAGTTCGCGTGTACTTCCCCAATGGATCATAAACCCGCAAAGTGTACGCCGGTGAGGTAAGTTCAAGGAACAGAAGTAATGAAGTTTTCTACACAGTTTTATTCACATTATCAAAAATAAACGCTTATAAATACATGAATGAAAAATAGTGTAAAGGCCTTCATCCTCACAATTCATCAAGAGGAGCAGCAAGAATTTGATCGGCAATCTCAAACTCCGGATGGTCCGACAAGGTGGGGACGGAAGAGGTCAACTGAAAATCCGGAAAAAGTACACGATCACTAGATTTGAAGGGGACGTGAGGAAGCAACTACGACCGCCTTACGTGAGGAAACAGGTGAATTTGAATGACGGAGACAGGAGAAGTAAAGTGATAGGGATTATAAACGGATGATTCGTCCCACACAAATGAGTAGAAAAAAGCAGATATTGCAAGGAGCTAATCCAATGGGTTGAAATGATGAGGGACAAAACGGCTTTACGATGTACCCCGCTAGTGCAGCATACTAGTAAGCGGCTCGCTCAGCGATACGTAGCGGGTGATCGTGCCGGTAGCAAGAATTATTGCCGAAAAACACTCAAACCGAGCTACTGGTTTCCGTACCAAGATAACTGTATCGCTTATAATGGTCGAGTGGATAAACACACCACTGCATAATTCGGTCAGGCGTTACGGTTCACCAAAGCCATAATCAAAAATATGTATAGTGAGACGTAGGGTCCGCTGGTCAAAGGCAACAAGTGAGGTAACCGTTATCCTAAAGATCAGAGGTGGGCATCGTATGTTGGAGGTACTGAACAACTAACTATGTTTGAAAGCCGCAGCTGGTAAAGTGCTGCTCAGCTGCAGTGAGATCAACCAGCGGACAAGGTTGAGACCTTCCGAGATGCTAGTTGAGATCTAATTCATTTAGGACACGCTAGACGAGCTCCAAATAACGATGGTATTTTGTGGTTGTTTGGCGGATACGCCCAGTAAAGGTAAATGATGGATAATCTTGGGCTCATTGATGCGTTTAGCGATTCAGTTGCAGCGCCATCACTGTTACCACCGAAGGTTGAAGCTGCTGGGAGTTTTCAGTGGACGCTACCGAGGGCTGCGAGGCGATTTCATATTAGCGTACCAAATATTATGTGGCCCCAAACACGCAAGTCGTCATTTGCTTAAACTTAGCCACAACACCAAGCCTAGAGGTATCTGTTTGAAACTGAGTGAACAATATCGCCGTCTAGATTGTCCCCGGAATTACTTTTCCCTTCTAGTTAACCAAGCCCGCAACGCTCTCCCAGACACAGTTGTATGCTCACCTACTTCGGATATTTTCTAAGAATGATTGGATGCTGTTTTTAGGTCCCAGCACTTCATTACATAGACTACACCACTGTGGATTACATTAATCCTGACTTTCTGCAGGATTTACGTGCCATATGAACCCAAGGAGGCGGCGCAGAAGTGAGCGACCATATTTTAATTTTCCCAGGCTTTACATCAACGAGCATTGCACCCCGTTTATTTCTGTATGCTTACACACGATTTTATTTCACGCAACGTTATTTACCAACACATCTCGGTAGATGATTCACTTACAGTTCGACCACACTGTACTCACCCAAACCATCCTATGGGACGTGTCAAGTGCTTACTTTTATCCTGTGGTAAATCACTGTTCATTGTGGCCATCAACTCGCTTGATACGCTGCCACCAGGTTCCACACAAAAATCATGCTCGAAATAAGCGACACAGTGGGCACTCAACGCAACTCCACAAGTCTCCGGAAGAACCCTCAGCGTTATCATAGTACGGAGAAAAATAAGCTAAAAGCACGTATACTAAGCCGGTGGTACAATGTTCTCAGTAGATAAATTGGAGAGACCACTGCAAGTGAGGACAAAATATGGTTACAAAGGATTGGAACTACGGAAACATAAAGAAACAGATAAGCACAGTAAGAATGCTAGCTCGTGCTCCAAGTTGCTGTAACAATGGGCTCAGAAACGCCTGGGTAAAACTAGTATGCATTAAGCGACAGTATGACAAAGCTGATGGCAATAGGTGATGTGGCTGAATCAAGATGATCTTGAGGAGCGGTAATTTCAGTTTGAAACGGGTTGCTCCCAAAATCAACCAAAGTGCTAAAAACACCACAATGATAAAAGCAGTACCTTGGAAACCTTATCCAATCCGGATTGCAGCCGCCTGTAGGCCTTGGATAATCTTTCCAGGTTACGGGAGGCAACAAGAAAAGCGTCAGGATCGAGTAATCGAAATTCGCGAACATGCTCTGAAGGTATCGCTCTCAAGCTTTCGTCAGAATGTATATCTAGTTCAGCAAAACGACGTGATGCAACTTGGAGTTCGACATGCAGCTGTTGAAGTCGATCCAGCTAAACGGATTGTGAAGAATAGGGTACAGCGTAAGAAGTGTAGCGAACAAAAGCTGTTTGTCCGATTGCAAAACAAATAACGCTGTAAATCAATCGGGTGAAACTGGGGACTTGGTGATCTTGAGAAAATGAATCAGGACAAAATACCCTGATGTTAGTGAATGCTGTAGGGTGCAGTGGGCGTTTTTTGGCATTAGTATCATCAACCATAGCAGTCCGGTCAGGCATCTAAACTAATGACTCGCTGCTATAGAATCACAGTGATAAAACGGAACGAAGGGGAGAATGGCGAAAAAATACTAAATTCACTAAAAAAAACTTGCAGAGTCAAAGCGCCTACACCTTGATAGTAAAATGCCGTCGCAAACCGCTGGTTGCAGTGCAAAGATTATCAGGAATTACAGCGCAGATAACTCAGCACCAAACACACTTTAAACAGGCGGTCTGACTACGAGACGACAGCAGACGCGCCACTGGTGTCGACCACCAGCCACGTCTTGTAACGTCTCGAGCCAATCACAAAGCGGGTCAAGTAGACTACAGCTTAGAAAGCGAAACGGACCAACGGTACGCAGTATTTTAGTAGGTGACTTCATTCCTCATGTTTTACTGCAGTACTATCTGGTGTTTAGGTAGCTAGCTGGGTGTGTTCCAGAGAATAGCTTTCAAACATTACACGTATAAGGACGAGTGGGGTACACCGAAAGACATGTAAGAAAATCCCGAGAGAAGAAAAGAATCATAAAGCAGACTGAATACGATCCAGTAGGTATTTGATTACGTGGTGTTTGCAAAATGGCACCAACCACATTGACATACAAATGAGCGGAAGACTATCAACAGCCCGTGAGCAGAACTAGTAACAACCAAGTGAAACAGAAAGATAAGTATTTGAGTACCGGTCGTGCTTGGGTTGAAACATGTGACCCATATTGGTTTACTCCGAAACAGACCCTGATTATTGCGACCGCAACCGAAAAGGAGTGATTTATGTGTTGAGACCTCTAAACATAGCAATCCACCAACAGTTTCGACGTTATTTGTACACATGAAGTATTTGCGGCAGGAGCGGACAGCCAATCCACAACTAGTCAATAAGTTTGCAGCGTTGGGTCGAACACTTTGAAAAGTAAGTTATTCAGCCAGAATCACCTGTTTCCTTATCGGCCAGTGATTAGCGCTCTTCATGGGCTGAATCCACGGAAACCCCCTACCGTGCAGAATTCGAACGTAAGATCATAATGCTAAAAGCGAATAAGGCTGCGGGAACAGAGAGATATCCTCCGGCCTTCTTCAAAACCGGGTGACCAACTGTTGTGAATAAGCCGTATAAGTTACTAGTGGAGTTGAGTAGCAGAAGACTATCCCAACAGACCGAAACCGCTCCACTATAGTTCCAATTTCAAGGTAAGCTAAAGTAGTGCGATGGGTATCAGTAGCTCCCGATCTTTCTGAACCTGTCAACTCCTCATAGACTGACTAACACCTGTGAAAGCCAGATACGCGATAAGCAAGAAAACTTGCATCGAGGTCGGGATTGCAATGACCGCATCATCAGTCGGAGCACCACCAATATACATTGGCGGTCCACCGCTGTCCCGGTTATCGATATCAAATATGCCTTCAATTGGCTAGATAAATGTGGCCCTTGGAACTATCTGCTCAGGAAAGGTGTGCCCAATAAATCTGTAGATGTCATGCGAGCGTTGCACGCGCGTAGTTCCGGCTTAGTGAGGGGCTCATGGCAAACCATTGGCGCACTTCAATCTCCCCCTCAGGATAAAAGCTGTCATCCTTCCTCGTCAACCTCTGCATTGACGGAGTCATGGAAACTGCATTCCACTGGACACAATTTGGAAGGTATGAAGCTGCTTTCAAGCGAAGGACATTTCGACCTAGCGTACGTCGGCCGGTGGCCGAGTGGTCTGCATGTTTGCTTTGCAACCATAAGGTCACCGGTTCGAATCCGCGTAGGGGTGGGCGTCCTCGCAGAATATTCAGCCCGCGCGCGATTGATGGTGGTTGCGCGGCAGCGAAAAGCCGTTACGGCGTACAGCTGACACATTATTTAGGCTGGCTTGCCGAACAACCTCCTCGTGGTGCCAGCTGAGTGGTTCGGGGTTTTCCCGTTCCAACGAATGGTTCGGCGGCAGTGTTCCAGGACGTGGTGGGTTTTCGCCTTAATCACCAATCTTCAACGACGGTTGGAGCGATGGGCCGAACATTTTGGCTCGCAGTTTTGTTGGCCCCCAGCTCCATCTGCTACGTCTGGCGCTCGCGCTGGGGCCGAGTGGTCTACCCCAACAGACCCTCCCTCTTCCCAGGAAATCGAGCAGGAGCTTCGGCACATGAAGCGTTATAAAGCTCCCGGCCCTGATGGTCTTCACCCAGCTCTATTTAAAAATGGTGGCGCATCGCTGGTCCGAGAACTCACCGCTTTGTTCTCGAAAATTTGGTCGAAAGAGAAAGTTCCATCATCTTGGGGTGAACCGACAGCCGTCGCCATCTTCAAAAAGGGCCTGCGCACAATCTGCTCCAACTACAGAGGAATAAGTTTAGTCCCCGTCGTTTGCAAGCTGCTGGTGTCCATCATACTTCGCAGGCTATCCCCAACACGCGAATCGTTGCAACGAGAAGAACAAGCTGGGTTTCGACCTGGTCGCGGCTGCATCGATCAAATCTTCACACTTCGCCAGATCCTCGAGCTCCGCCATGTGTATCAGAAGCCAACGATTGCTGTGTTCCTGGATATCCGTGAAGCCTTCGATTCTGTCGATTGTACAGTACTGTGGCATTGCCTTCTGAGGAACGGTGTCCCCGAGAAGTTCGTCTCCATACTGCGCGCTCTATATAGTCTGACCTCGGGCAGGGTTAGGGCTTATGGCAAGCTTTCGCCTACCTTTGTGGTCTCCAGTGGAGTTCGACAAGGATGCCCTATCTCTCCGTTCCTATTCAACTTTGCCATTGATGATGTCTTGAAGAACCTTCTAGGCGATTCCTTGAACACTGGCGTTGAGCTCCTCCCAGGTAGTCGAGTTGTTGATTTGGATTATGCTGATGATATCGTCTTGCTGGGTGACGATCCACAGGTCGTCCAACTTGCATTAAACCGCTTGGTGATTGAAGCATCAAAGTACGGTATGTACTTTTCGCCATCCAAATGCAAGGCTCTCTTCCAAGACTGGCAGGTGCCTCTGCCTGCACTCACGCTTGGTGGTGAGACACTAGAGGTTGTGGAGAGCTTTGTCTACTTGGGAAGTTAAATCACTGCTGGCGGGGTTGTTGGAGACGAGATTTCGATGCGCATCTCGAGAGCAGGCCTCGCTTTTTCTAAGCTGAGGCATTTGTGGCGTCGCCACGACATTCGTCTCTCCATCAAAGGGCGGGTCTATTGTGCAACTGTTCGTGCTGTACTGTTGTACGGATGCGAGACCTGGCCCATTCGTAAAGATGACTTGCGCAGGCTATCCGTCTTCCAGCACCGCTGTCTGCGGTCCATTGCCCGTGTGTGGTGGCAGCACCACGTAAGCAATTTGCAAGTCAGACAGCGTGTCTTGGGACGTGGAAGTCACTCGCTCGAGGAGCTCATCTCACTGCATCAACTGCGGTGGTTGGGACACGTATTGCGCATGCTTGTCCAGCGTTACCCGCGTCGTGGGTTGTTTTCGGTTGCTGGACAGGGCTGGAAGAGACGGGCTGGTGGACAGCCTACAACATGGAGAAGCCACATGAAAAAGTTGACGAAACAGTTGGCCTCGGCCGGTTGTTGTCGACTACCAGGTTGGGGTCCGAGAGATGAGGATACTTGCTGGTTGAAGACCTTTGAAGTTATGGCTCATGATCGATGTCAATGGCGGACGTGTGTATCGGTTTGTTGCGGTGTCCCTCCTTCCTCCCCCTAAAAAAAGAACAAACTGAAAAAAAATACAAAAACTGTGAGTGGTAAAATAGACAAAAAAAGCATTGGTTGTTGCTCATTTTCTTATCATTCATATTGTTTTCTTATTCAGCCATGATTCCGATGGCACAATATCTGTACCACAGATCATATATATATATATATATATATATATATATATATATATATATATATATATATATATATATATATATATATATGTACGTCGACGATATTGCCCTAATCTGTGACAGCTCATAAACGTGCCAAACATCACTGGACAAATTAGCCCTGGCTGCCAATCGTTTCGGCCTATGCTTTGCACTCTCGATATGCAAAACAGAGACCCACCCCTGAGATGACCCATGGTGGCGACCAGTTCGAAGTTGTCCAGAAATTCAAGTAGCTCGGCAGCTATATTAGCGCCAGCCGAACAGATGTGGTTAATAACCTCACATCAAAAGCTTGAGGCGCTGTGGCAATCTTCACCACCGGTAGTGATGGTGCAACATCACGTCCGCGGCCGTCCATTCATTCCTCCTGTACGGCTGTGAAACCTGGTCCCTCAGATCGGCAGACATAAAGAGGCTTGTTACGCTGGACTATCACTGCCTTCGCCGTTTAGCTATCATCTGGTACGAACACAGCGTGAGCAGTGAACGCGTTCAGCGTCTCGAGCAGAAAGAACGGGCAAAGCGTTCAGCACCATAGTACCAAACACCAGGCTCCAATGGCTAGACCACGTGCTGCGCACGCCAACACACCGATTCCCGTGACGTGCGTTGTTTGCGCAACCGGGGTCTGGATGGAAGAAGTGAGGCCAACCGGTATCTTAGTCGAGAGGAATGACATCCCTCATTTCAAAGTTGGCGTCGGTTGGTGTCTCCTGACTTCCAGGCAGGGGGCCGACGGACAATGAACACGTCCGGTTGGACACACATGTTGACATGGCGAGGAGTCGACCTCAATGGTGTTTGTGTTGTGAGTTTCTTTGAGAGATGCTCAAAGCTGGGATCGGAACCCTGGACGTAGTGGCTTGAGATTGACTACAGCACTGCGATCCGGGAGCAGCGCTTGATACATCGGATGAATAAATTGAATGTAGTAATCTAGACACTTGGCGGGTACTCCAAAGCTGCACATCTAATTCATAACCGCTGTGTCAAGTGTTGCTCACAAGCCAAGTGAAACAGCATCGTCAGTCGCGTGTGAGCGGTGGATAACAGACAAGACAAGCATGTGTCAGAAATCAAGCGTCCAAAGATGAGTAAGCCTTCACGATGATTAAACTTATTCTCAAAATGTATTAGCATAGTAGCAAGCTGGTAGGCGTTTCAACGGGTAATTTAACATCAGACAAACGACCAGTCGGTCGTTTTGTGAGCAAGAAGCTTGAAAGCGGAGGTTTACGTGCGCACAGTATAAAAGAACCAGAGACCTCCGGAGTCTGTGGTATCAGATTGTCTACACAGTAATGACACATCTGAAACTGAAGGGTTGTGGACTAAGTTGGGAATACCCCACTTGGGGGACCGCATAGAAAAGTTAAGTCAAATCCTCGTTTTGGGTTGAAGCCGGGAGTTTCATGTCAGGGGTGACTGAGCCGTGATGCTCATTCGATCGCATCCCAGGGTTTCGTAGGTCCCCCGTGTTAAGGATTAAGTGGCTTGACGATAATAATAATTGCCCGAAAATCTGTGGAATAGCATTATCATCAATATACTTACGTCTGTATGTCGATGTGGTGCAACATTATCACGCATCCACATTCAATCTGCTAATCATGGATGAGAAGAGTACAGGGATAGCGACCTGATGTAATACTTCCATGTCAAGGACAAACACTGGAAGTCAAGCACAGAACCTTTGCAAAGCTGTACGGTAAAAAAAGCGGACAATCGTGCGAATATTGGGTGTTGCCCGCCAGAAAGCACTGTACTCCACGACCAGCTTCTAGCTTATTTGATGGCATCAGGTGGAGATAGCAGGTATCAAACCTGGTTACCATCCCAGTGACCGAATTCACCAAGTTTCACCCCGATGCGAACCGCGGGACGCATCGTGTTTTCGCATGGCAATCTATTCACACACAACGTACTTCAAGATGACCCTCCAATCAATACTTCCGAAGAATTTCTCGGACAGGTATTGCTATGATTAGATGACGACATCAGTACATACACTACCGGTCCTGGTTGCGAGACAGATCTCGTAATAATTGGATCTCATGGAACCCAATCTAGGTGGTGAAACGGTTCAACACAGTCTAAGGATGGATTTGCCATTTATTAGTTCCTTCTAAGAAACTGTCTCCGCTGCTTCATTGATGTCACCTGGAATGACGATGAAACGTTTGCAATCAAGTCGCCCAGCTTGAGACCCGTTTTTTTCTCTCCTTTTTTCTTTGTATTGCGGCACAGTAGCTGAGGTGTTTCCCACCTCTAGCTAACGTGTATGATGATGATGATGCCCAGCTTGAGAAACATCATATCAACCGAGAAAGCCTCACGAGCTACCAGTACTTCAAGAAATTTCAAAAAGTTAACTGTGATCATTTTTAGCACAATGCTGGAGAAACAAAGAGTAAGGAGTGCCCAAAAAACCTCACTTCTCAGATCAAAATTAGTAGAGAACCATCCGAAAATCGTTGTTTAGGAGTGTGAGAAGTGTGAGATGACAAGGTTAATGCTACATGAGACATCACCCGTTCTATTGAGTTGGTAAGTTTAGGAAGTAGTCGGAAATTTGACGAAGATAGCAAGCTATCGCATTCAGGTGAATTGGATCAACACTGCACTTCAAGCAGCATACGACCATAGTCAGGAGAAGACTGAGTACAGGCTCAAGCTGGTGACCGCATTCCGCGCGGTTATCTGTACACTATGAAGAGATGTTGGTAGTGGTATTTCAAAAGAAATCAGAACAGTGTGAAGGATGGGGTCAGAAAGACGACTGACGTTTCAAGGTGCACGGGAGCACAAATGGAGTGACCCCACCTAAGTATGAGAAGCGTAGATGTAGCCAAAAGGACAATCTGGCTGCATTCGTTTGAGAACAAGAGTCTGAGACAAGGGATGGACAAAATCAGCCAACTCACAACAAAAAATGTGCAATGTTGCACTGAGCTTAGGAAAGACGTACCTGATTGGCACTCAAGCAACCGTTTGGATTACTGTCGGTAGGTTCTTCAGATGTTTGCTGAGCGCCCAGCATTGATTCGTACTGCTCACAACTTTTACGGAAGATTGATTGCAAGAGATCCGTAAGAAGTAGAGAAGATTTGGCTGAAGAGTGCTTCCGATTTTTCAACCGATCAAGCAACAGCTTAGTGAAAGATGCATCGCCAGCAGATGGTAATTGAGTAACAGCGTCGATAACAGCATCTAACTCAGCTGCAGTGTCTAAGATACAATCGCAGTCTAAGTTGGCGTCAAGTTCAGACAAATGACTCATCTGCAGGGTATGGAATGAAATTGGAAATGAAAGACAATGGAACAAGGAAAATTTGGTTCACAATAGCTGCGACTATGAAAGGTACGGAGGACAAGGGATTACCATTATGTGAGTGACATAATGCATACCATCCAATGATTTACCATCGTGTTGTAAGAGCAGGTCCGTAACCCCCGTGTGTCGTTGGCAAAATTTCCAGATAGACATGATCAGACGAATCGAATGGCAGAATCAATGGACAATTTCAAAATTACTAGGAGGCAGTTGAGCAATCAGTCGAGGTGTGCCAAAAGAGTCGTTCGGCACTAGATTAGCTCCAAACCTTAAGCTAAGTTACGGAGCACGTACTGTTTAGCTAGTTAATGATTTAATATATTTGCTCACATGCAGCATCAGTACCAAAGCGAAAAGGAATTCAAGGGGCGTGCGTGTGGAGATGATGAAGAAGATGGACAAACGTCGTAACACACTTCGGATAAAAAACATGCTGAGGACCAGCAGAGTTTGAAGAGTAACAGGTAACCAGAACGATCGGTTGAAGGCATTAGTGAAAACACCATTAATAATATATAGTTTCAAAGGAAATAACCGTAACAAACGAATGACAAAAGCCGGGTGACAATGCAAGTAGTTAGCAACTGCAAGCCCCCACTGAGAAAGAATTATTAGATGAAGCCACGTCGTCCAGACAGAACGTACCTGGATAGACTTACTGCTAGCCTCCTTAAGTGACTGTGCAGAAACACGACAAAGTCAAATAGAATGAACAGTAACGGTGATCCCATAGGAGCAGCAAAAATAGAATGCTCAGCAGGACACCAACAGCATGACAATGCGTTGGACTCAACTTTGTGATGAAGGGAAATGCAGCCAGCCGAAATAAATTTGTTAAGAAGTGATGGAGTCAATGATCGGAAGAACATGTGGCGTAACCGGTGTTGAGAAATAATTAGAGCATACAACGGTTTACTGAAAGTGAAGTGGGCAGGTAGTCAGCCAATGGATCACCTCAACTCGATTACATAGCGTAGATCAGCGCAATGCGATGTGGTGGATTCAGACGCCTGGACAAACGCCGTCACAACAATAAGAGTAAGGGTAATAATACAAGTATCAGAGAGAGGAATGCACAAAAATTAACATTGTCAGATGAGGTAAGAGAACGAAGGTAAGAGCGCACCTGACTCCACCACCAAGCTATATCAAATGAGGTGTCTGACCACTGATGAGGTCGGTCAGCAACATCCATCTGTGAAGATGAGTGTGGAATACGTGATAGTGAGCAGGCAGCAGCGTAATAGCCAAAAGTAAGTGCTCGAAATTGCCGGGCTATGCATTATACGATTTAAGTGGCTGAAAACCGACAGGGTGTACCTAAGGAAAAAGTTTGTAGGCCTCCATTGAAGGCATTCGAGGTGCATTTGACTAGAATACATGGACCCATGTAGATCATACAGGATAGTTATCAGTGGTTCGCCACGCCTAGTGAACCAGCATTTAAGGGAGTGATCCAAAGGACTCGTATCGCCAGCAAACACCGATTGACTTACACAGATCACCGGCTCCTCGGCCGTCCAAACCGAAGTGGGCGCTACGACAACGGTGAGCAACGAGCGACATAATGACAAGGAAGCCTGGCCTCCTGACATTCACCTAGAAAGAACCTCACCTGTATTTATCAGTAGTAGTCAACACACCTAAGCAGTTGCAGCAAACTTATCGGAACCAAGCTCGATGTGAAGAGGTTCCATCTCCTTGGGGAGATTTGATAGCCGTCGTGATTTGCTACGTATCAGTACTCGATGCGCCAACCACAGAGGAGTCAGTACAATGACAGTTGCCTTCAAGCATCCACTGAACTCCGCAGATTAACCCCGATCCGAGAATTATAAGCCCGTGGAAAACATGACAGTTTCCACTTTGGTCATGTTCATGCTACACCAACTCTTTGAGTATCAACCTAAATGTTAACTCACAAGTGTAGCCTTTGTGGACCTCCAGGCTGAGTTCGATTCGGTCCATTGGTCTGCTTTGCGGCGCTGTCTGTACAAGAATCGGGAACCGAAAAGTACACTCCCACCTTTCCAGTGTTACGTAGGGCAACCGAAAGGTTTTGGACTTAACCCGAGCATTAATATCTAGGAAGATCAAAAGATACTGCTGATAATCTAATATCTTTGTTTACTATAGTGCAATATGCACATACGCCGTTATTTTCTGTCCACAGAGGTTTGGACCTAAGGAGTCTGTGATTAGGTGAAAGTGTAAAAGTCCGACAATGAAGCTGCGATCAAATATGTTCAATTCAAAGAAATGATGTCATTTGAAATCCACAAGGATATGCTCAACGCTATGTGTGACAGTACGCCTTCATATGCCACACGCAAATGCCAAGCACAAAAAGCTAAGCATGACAAAAAGTGCTGATGAGTCAAGGTTAAGGAGATAGTCAACTGCCACCAAAGTAAAAACTTTTACCGTGCTTCGGAAATGACCATGCAAGATCGTCAGCTGCCCACAGACCAAGTAGCAGACAGACTGGGCATCAAACAAGAATGAATGGAGCATATTCTGAAGAATGAACTAAGCTACTCGAAGGTTGCTGCTTACTGGGCCCGTTTTTGATTCTAGAAGAGCACTCGGTGCAACATGTCAGTTATAACAGAAGTAGACAATGTTTTCGCTTGATTCATGACTATGGATGAACACTGGGTAAACCAGTATCAGAATGAAACAAAAGAACGATCCAAACAACGGAAGCATGCCATTTCCTCGACAGTGGTGGGCAAAGTCAATGTTTCGGTTGGGAAGATGATGGCATCAGTGTTTAGAGATGCTTAAGGGGTGATAATGATGGATTCTATTAGAAGAGGTCATACTATCAGTGAAGTGTATTACGCTGGCCTACTGCAGTTGCAGAAGAGACTAAAAAGCAAACAGCGCTGACAAAAGGAAACTCTTTCCACCATCATTTCTCCTGCCGTGAATGACTTGTTCAACAGGTCGCTACCCTAAAGTTCACTGACGAACGAATGAAAAGGTCCGGTGACAAAGCCGACCCCGAGGAGCATTGATCCCAACCTAGTGGACAACTACTGGCAAATTTGTCTGACATCTATTTCGGTCGAGATTGCAGAGATCCTGAGGGATATAATTCAGCTATTCTAATGTAAAGATCATTTGACCGGTTTCATTAAAGGCCGCTCATGCATCACCAACCTGTTTGTGATGTAGCATGGATAGTTGCAAACACTAAGCAAAAGGAAGCCTGTCGGCGTTGGACAAAGTAAACAATAGGGTCCTCCTGTATGGGCAATGATGGTTGTGCTAGTGGCTCACTGCACCAGTGAATTCGATAGTTTCAGGTTTGATGGAAGTGGAGGGAATAGGTAGACGTCTATCTAACTGACTGGTATCACCCTACTAATGCAGTACCCCACATTATGGTACAGGGGCTCACTCTGTTCCTAATCCACATTAACGATTTACCTCAGCTTCTTCGGTCCCCGTGTGCACAGTTTGTGGATGATCCAGAGATTTGGAGAGTAAATGACGCTCCGGACGACTGTAATCTACTTCAGCCAGATTTCAATCGCCTCTGCATGTGGTTTTCGGAACTCTGTCTTCTGGTCAACCCAGACAAGTCGGTACTCGTGAGCCTGAGGAAAGGTGGTGACGGCCGAAGCTCCACTCTCGATGGCTAACCGCTACATGCCACATCTTACGTGAAGGACCTAGGCGAACTCTTATCCTGATACTTAAAGTTCGTGGATAACCTGAACAAGCGACACCTAAACGGTAGGCACATGCTTTGGGCGCTCAAAAGCACTTTCTGTACTTGGTTTAAACGGACTGCCCCTCACACACTTTTTCACCGTAAAACCTACTGACCGACTAGCCGAGGCGAGGCACAGAGGATAGGACGGGCCCAACACGTCGTCAGGAGGTTCACTTCTAGTTTACGAGGAGTACGGTACGAAGACCGGTGATAAGCAAGACTATGTACTTATTGTCGGATGTGAGTCGATGTCAACAAGACTTACCGTATACTACATCTCGGTGGCTTGCCCACGCTGAGGCCGTCGAAATGCTTACGAACGCTGGGCAGCACAAGCAGATCCCCGTAAAGGCGTTCGGTGCCAGATCTGAAGTAAGTAACCCACTCCATGTGCTTTGAACGGAGGGTGGTAAATGTTTGGAACAGCTAGCGAGCGAGGTAAACTCGCTGCGGCAGTTCAGAACACTGCTGGATTAAGATTACGCGGATACTCGAGTCAGAGAACGATTGCTCATTGACAATAACATCAAACGTTTGTGAGACATATGTCACCGTCAGTCAGACACTTTTGTATATTACATGAGAAGATGGAGAACGGTTAGTGTACTAACATGTGAAAAATATTTTCTATACGTCTTTGATCATAGTTCCATGGAATTGTACATAATTAGATTTCTACTTACTCCTATAATACAGAACCAAGCGGTGATCATGGTAACACTCCGTGACTGTGGGTTCCGAACTGCTCCTCGATCACCCACTTCACCAGACATGGGCCTCTCGGATTTCCATCTCATTCACACGTTTGAGAAAAGTTGGACCGGTCTGCATTTCCCACGTAACAATGAGGTCCTGCATGCCATTGTTCTTATGATCACAACACTGGGACAAACGCAGTTCAGCGCCACTGGTGCAAATGGATTGGCTTTCAGGGTGATTATGTTGGAAAACAATAACATTGATAAATAAATAACTTGATTTATTTCTTTGTGATTCGAAAACCCCAGGTATACTTCAATGTCGGGAGCAAAATCAGGGCTTAGGATAAGTTCCCTTCACTTTGCACTGTTCCTAGCGATATGTGACAGGGGTGTATTGCCACTATTTTAGTTCAATTCGGTAACTAGAGATATCATCTCCGAAAAGCTTCCAAGAATCAGGCGTAGGGTTTTCCAGGTAATCGCACGACTGACTTAAACTACGCTGATTACATCGTTTTGTTAGGGACAACCAGAGTATGCAGCTCATCCCAAACTACTTACGATTGAATAAACTAAGTATGGCATAAGCTTAGGCTTCTAAGTGCCAAACCATGATCCATGCTTGCAGCGATGATGTTAGACAGCGAGTGTTAGGTAAGATGACACTTCATTCAGACATGCCAGTACCGCTGCAGTAATTGAGATGACTAGCTCACGTTCTGCACACATCGTACAGGCGACTATCACCACGTGCTTTATTCGTCCGTACAGGACTTCAATGGAAAAAATCGTGCGGTGCTCGGCCAGCCACATATATTGACATAATGTCAAAGCGCTGACTTTCGCTTTAGCTATCGTCTGTGCTGAGCGTTATCTGGGTTGGGAATTTAAGAATGAAGAACACTGCTGGCTCGCAACACTTGAAAGCATGGTATGAAATCAGGATCCACGGAAGATTTGTGTAATTATGTCTCGATTTAGCTTTTAAAAATTGCGTGCGAAAACCTAAAAATTATTCAACTTGTTTCCAACCGTTTCCCAATTTTTGCTTTCTGTCATTATGACGGTCGCATACCCCATGGTTCTGATGTTTCCACGTCCATCTCATAGAGTGTTTATATATATACTGCGCTGTAAAAAAGACGTATCACCTTGAAAGATATTCATTTTTTCTAATTTACCATTTGCACCTTATGAAAGACTATACACAAAATGTCCTTTAGACTATTTTGCTACCTATTGCTAGCTTTAAGTTGCGGTATCTCAGCCCGCATTTTATATTCCTCACTCGCTAGGCCCTTCCTGGACTGTATCATCCAAAAAGTGCACTCTACCTGTGGTGCCGCCTTCCTTGATACTTCTAGTGATAACCTGTATCACAAATGTTAAACTGGATTCAGACCTAGGAAGTAACTTGGCCATTCGAGCGTCGCCACTCCGACTTTTGTCATCCATGCTGAAACTGTCTTTGTACGAAAACATGTATTGTCATCCTGGTAAGGTATCATTTTTCGCATGCCTTCTGAGCCGATGATAATCATCAGTTGTTTAAAAATCTTTAAATCCAATGCGCAGCAATGCAAATCTAAAGCATGATTTTGTTAGATGCTTAGGAGGGAGGTTTAGAAACGGTGAATTGTACTATTCCCCTGCAAACCGTTGAACAAATGTGTCGCCACAACTCCCAAGAATGCAGGCGTGACTCCCATCACTGAGTCAAATTCTGCCCCAATCCATCTTAGTCCAACATAAACACTTGTTGGTGCATTCCAGTCCTTGTTTCCTTTATGCACCAGACAAAACTGGTTTCCACCTGGACCTTCAATTTCTCAGAGAGCATTCCAAGCACCGTCTCCCCACTGCTGAACTGTCATGTGCTCAGGAAACCTCTTCTATTCCTCAATAGCTGAGAAGTGTTAAGATCCTTGTCACTCAAGGATGACCTCAGCAACACCAGGTTATTTCGGTTTGTTGAGTTTGATGGGTCAGCTAGATCCGTACCTGTCAGTTGTGCTTTAAGTCCCAGTTTGGTTTTTATTACGCCTGATTGATGACAGTGTATTAATTGCAATTATGTTTTGTCCCAATTTCCGAGGTAGAGAAACCTGCTACATAGCATTACCACTTTAACCCGCACATCGGTGGCCAGATAATTAAAGGATCTCCGGATAAAACTTTATTCAGGCTGACAAGCAAGTGTTATGAGTTTGCATTAAAACACTGCAAAATTATAAATATGTATTGTTCTAGTACATGCCAGAAATTTTGCATCTGTACTAGAGGAAATTAACATTGTTCGAAAAGTCGGTTTCAATCTCGATATGACAAGTTTAAAATAATTACACACACTACACTACAGAGGTTATTAGACATAGCATTACCTGGCGAAAACTATTTTACGGATAATAAAAACAGTAAAAATACTGAGAACAATTTCGAGTGAAATGTAGTTTTGGAGCACTTTTGAAATTAGTTAGTCAACGAAGCCACCAAAAAACATAAGTGCACATTTACCAAATGACGCAGAGCCGTTACTTACCGTTGTACACCCAATATATATATATATATATATATATATATGAATTGGCCAGAAGCTACGTTACCAGAACATGATCAAAGTGAGCCCCTCTTGTTCTAATCTTGATTGCACGTCATGGGAATCGAAAGCGGTTGATCGGTGTGCAAGGCGCAATCTAATCACGAAGGCAGTTGCTGAAGTGCGGGAGGAATACCTCATACATGCAGAGAAGAAGAGGCAAGCACCGATGGATTGTACTCCATCGACATCGAGCGCATGGTGCCGTAGCACATGCGGTTGCGAGTGCCTGAGGCAGGCAGGTCTAGTCAGCCATGGGCTAGGACACTCAGGGCCAACACCGAAACGACGACGTGTCCTGCTGAAAGCGAAGGCAGAACCGGCGCAGATTTTGTAGGTACGCTGCATTCGATTTAATAGTCGTGTGCTTGCATGCCGAGTCTCTTTATTTCAGGTGGTAGGTTTGCTATATTGTCCTACTGCTTCTTTTATCTCATTTTAATGCCTACCTGAATAATCTTTTATTAACTTGCATACGTCGTGTAAACTATATGCAGCTAAGTTCGTTAGCATTTTCGCATTTGCGGCATTTTCTTAAAATGTGTTTTCTGACGTCTTGAACATATCGCGGATTTGTTGGCAAACAACTTATTTTATATGTATAGTTAGCGAAGAGTTGTCACCTTATCTATATGTATTATTCGATTTATTTTATTGGTCTCGTCGTTTCAAGTGATTGGCTGTTGTTTGTTATCCCTAGTGTGTGCATGGTAACAAGGTGCATACCTGTCTATCACCCACTACCTCGTAAACACTGGCTCCAAGAGACAGATGGTGGTTGCTGGAGGGGACAGGGTGCACCGCCCTTGGGGCTGCGCTAGGCTCAAAGAGTGGTTCCATGCACTCAGTGTGGAGCGGACTACGGTCCAGCAACCACCTTGCGCGCGCTTGATTCCCAAATACAGCGTGCTTGTGTTTGCCTGTGAATGAGTGTGGGCCGGCTCAGTTGAGGAAACGTGGCTCCTATCCACATGCCTCCTAGTCTTATTCCTTCGGGTTTACACCGGACATGGGGGGTGTGGGTGGAACTGTGGGTGGTGCAGCGCAAGCCACCAATTGTCCCTCTGTAGACGCACGTGCCTTGTGCCTAGCCAAAGTGATAAGTAAATTTGAAACCGCGTGCCGCTAACCATCAAAATTACGCACCTCCGACCACAGTCAGTCCCAGGTGGGAGTTGGCGGATTCGCACCAATTTGACCAAGGGCCGCTTGACTTGAAGTGGGTTGTAGCCAAACATTGAGCACCAGAATGCACTCTCCCATCTTCAGAGACTATGTGTGGCGCTCGTGTTTTACGTGAATCAAGCTGTGGGCTTATAAACCGTAGACCTGTTGACTCCTATGGCTAGGTTTTAAGGGAAGAGGGCCATCGAGCTCTCCCAAACCTCGAAGATGATTGGATTGTGAGACTGTTAGTCTGATCCCTAACCATTGACCTGTCTGGTAAGAGTGGCTCTGCAGCTACGTGAGAAGTGCTACCCAGCGTATGCAAACCATCGCACGATGTTAGGCTCCTGCCTTATCGTAATGGAATCCAAAATCTACTGCCATTTAACGTGGGTAAATGCAAGGTATTCTACATACAACATCATAACTATTATTCCTACAGGATCGGAACGCGAATACTGCAGCGATCGTCCGTAGAACTCGATTCGGGTACGGTGATTCAGGATAACATGAGTTGTTCCAAGCTATCCGAAAAGATATCGCAAGCTGTTAATCAACATTTCGGGTTATTGAGGAGGGCGTTCGGAAAAACTGACATCGCTATCTTCTGACAGATGCTCAAGGCGTATGTTCTTACCCCATGTAGAATACACAATTCAAGCCTGGCGTCCATGACCGAAACTCGACCTCAATGCACTGGAGCAGTCTCGACTTCGTGCATCCAAGTCTGTCAGTGGAATGCGCAATCTCCCAGAAGAGCAGAGGCTGAAACGATTGGGTTTATTCAACGGACGACACTGCTGATTACCAGGCGATCTAGTAATGGCATAATTGATTTCGCACAATCCCAATCATGTGTGCCAACTCTCACTACAACTCAGCAGTGATACAAACCTGGGAGTTCACTACTTGAAACTAGAAGAGTAGTATAGCCGCCTGGAAGGAAGCAGAAATTGCTTCTCTACGTGCGTGTGTCATCCGTGGAATGCTCTCTCTGAACCGTTCGTGTCTGCACCAACACCAGCCATTCTTAAAAGATGGTCAGATGACGCATTCATCTATGTAAATTTTGTTACTTAACACTATTTCTCCGTCCTACTCTTTGGATTTATCTTGGACTTATTATTTGTCGCCTATTGGAGCTGCGAAACGACGCGGAGTGCAGAACAATGGCATAATAAACGATAAGTTTTTCTTCTGATACTGTTTTCATTAACTCACCAGATTACTCAATGGGACTTGTACAGCAGTGAATCGTAACCTGTAGAAAATCATTGTTTATTACTTGTCAATAAATTGCTCGTGGTCTGCTTAAAATGCGGTGTGTCAAATTTGGTTTGCAGAAATTTCAATTTAAAGCTATGATGGTATATATCATGAGTGAGAGTATGTGGGGCCAAGAAAACCATAAAAGCAGTGCAAACTCAAGCGAAAACCAAGAATACAGACAGGTATTTAGAAACTCGGAGAATCGCCTCAGGCGGTAAAAACAGCGGATGCGTGCAGATATTTTTAAAAAGAAATCTACTACAATAGCGCCACAGCACTTTATCGGTCAAACCAAATTGGTACACTGGAGCCACGGGTAGAGAATGAAATACACAATACATTCCAAGTTGAGTTTTCCACAAGCGACTAAACGAGTAACAAAAACCCTCACAAAAACGCGAACGGAATACAAGGTTCAACAGATAGGGACAAAAGACATGACAGAAAACAAGTGTTGGGTTGAGAGCACATCTTTATTTTCGATACGATAATCTTTGGATAAACAGTGAGGTAAAAAAGCGGAGGCGCAATCGCCGCTGGACTGCAACTGATGGAACGAATCATTCCAAAAGTATGAGATCATCATCTTCGTCTATTTCGACACATTCATCGGTGTTAGAACCGACAGAGTCCATGCGGGCTCGTTTGTGCACTGTCGGTTGCAGATCCGCGTCCTCTTCTGTGTGCGAAGTCCGCTTGGAGGAACGTGTGTTGACTGCTTCATCGGAGGAAACCACAGGTTCGATAGTGCCATTGGGAACTGAAAAAGACGATAGATTTCTGTTAGGCATTCATCAACAAAAGGTGTATAAAAAAATTTCGGCACAATCCTTGGAGAAAAACAGAATATACCAGGAGGAAGTGACTAAGTATAACGTACCTTACGCGGCAATGAAAGCCAAAGGATGGAAAAGGTGTGGTGCGGAAACGACAAAGAACGACACACTGAAAAATAAACACATACAAACCGCTTCCAAACTGTAGGGGTGTGTATGCAAGGAAATAAAATTCCATCCATACGCACAATACCGCTGTGGCTACACACAAACGATGGTCAAGTGTCAAAGATGTGAGTGAGATAAGAGTGGAGCTCAAGTTCGGCATTGCCCTGCTTACGGACGTAGTAAAGAAATGTCACTTCCATATCTGGAAGCGCTCAGGTATATGCATTTACACGGCGCGACGCAAGTAGAACATAGGATGAGCGCAACTTGAAGTCCGAAGACGTCATCCTCCAATAGCCTGTGCAGTCAATTGGATTGCTAGTAACTAGTAGAGCAGCAGTGATCAGAGGAGAGTGAACGGGATGATTAGCATGACTAAGGCATAGTGGTCACATACAAAAAGTTCGCCTAAAATAGTTCATTCTTACATTCTCAGAAGCTGTGTAAGGAAGCGAAAGGTTGGAACCGTTGAGATAGGTAGTGTAGGAATAATCCGATAATTTAAAAACTGTTGCCTTCCATTGAGTACGACAAAGTCACTTCGAAGCAACTAACCTGAGGCAAGGGGAAATCGGACCCATAAATTCCAAAAAACGTCTACCGTGGATGCACAACTCAGTACGGGCAGAGACAGGGTAGCTGAACAAATATGACAATAGTGGTCACTTTCTCGAATTACAGAAAAAGAACCCGCCGTATATTACCGAATATAAGTCGATAATTTTTGGACAATTTTTTCCTTTTTGTAGAGGGAAGTCAACTTATAAAAAGTTCTACGCAACTTGAAGAAAACCACATGCAAAATCCACCCAGAAATTCACTGCACACCTCCGCTCTTATCTCTCCTTAGCATCATCAGCTAGTGATGGACGGTATTTCAGACAGGATTTGAAGTGCCTCCTTTTTGTGCACGGTTTCTATGCAGCACTGCAAGAAGCGTGCCTATAACTAGACACGTCACTCTTATGATGAAAATTCGCAGTACATTGCATATTTGACGTTCGTGATCAATGGCAATAACAGAAACATACAAGAATATACAGAATCAAACACCATCACACAACATGGTAAAAACTACTTTAAAGCCAGCTGCATGTGTACATTCTTTCCCAGCTGGATCACGTGATGTCGCGTTAGCACTATTTTGTGTAGCGAATCAAAAGTGCTTATACATTACGGTCACTACAATTGACCAATAGTAGAGCAGATTTCGTTTGAACACATTCAAGTGAGAGCAAGTAGTGATGAAGTCAAAATCGTGGAGAAACAATTTCGTTTCTCTTTTTGCCGAAGTTTTTGGGGTCGACTAATACGGGGACTTAAGACATGGGAGAAATTTGACATTGCAAAGTTATACTATCGGCCTATCCATAGACGGGTTTATATTCAGTAATATAAGTTAATTAAAAGATTGAGGGGAAGCGGTGGTTGCTAGAAGTCGTTTCAATCCTTAAAAAACAATGAGGAGGACATGGGTAGATCATCTGGAATCTGTGCAGTTGCTGTTGACTCCAAGCTTTAAGTGAGCCAGACTGCAGCAGCTCAATGATCTGTATGGAAGTGTAGGTAGTGGGGGCCAAATTGACTTCTAGCTAAAAGGTGGAACACCGCACATACGTTGCGTGAGCAACGCCACACACATACAGGCAGCCTACTGCGATTGTCGAACAGGTGCCTTTGAAAGGATTGACATAGTGTATAGGACGCAGCTCGTTTAGAAGCGTACAAGGAAATGTCGCATACATTTTAGAACCTATGCGTCGCAAATTCCGTGAAAGGTTGAGGATAAATGAGAGAGTAACGAAGTTAGGCCAGACAAACGGAGTATCAACAGCTGTCCTACAGCACATTATCATCGCACTGAACATGAAAGACGCTGTCTTATCTATCTCATTTAGGTAGAAACTTTTGCAAATTGAATAGCAGACACTCTTAGAGGAGAGTAACAACATTCCTCTCGTAGAATGGAATTCAGTTGACAGGCAAACGCTGATTAATAAACTGTAACGCGCAGGAAGCCACTGCATGCCTACATTAGGATCTCAATCATTGCGCATAGCCGTTCACGAAACATCGTAACCCCCAGATAGATGATATTGTTATCCGACAGCTGATATAGTTAGCAACAAACTCTTCAGAACCGCATTGGATCGCCCACGGAAGGTGTTATTCCACACTCCGCGTGCCTACCGACCAACTACTCCAGCATGCAACGTGTGCCATCGGCTGAACTCCCACGACGGTTAACCGAGGACAACTAACGAAGATAGTAACCGAAAAACGCAATCCTGACTGCATATAATTTTCCTCATAATTATAGCTTTGGATTCAGCTTAGGCCGCTAATCGCACACCAGCGAAGTCGGAAACGCTGCCACACACAGCCACTGGTTGACCTAACCATTCACATCGTCTTGTTTACGACCATTTTCAGCTGCTGTTTGTGTAAGTCATTGTTTTCCTTCGCATGTTTATTTTTCGTTTTCATCGTGATGGTATCGCGAGCAATTGCAGCTGGATAGACCCACTGACGCGTTGCGAGTGACCACCCGGAGTGAGAAAGTGTACAACAGAAGAAAAGATCAGTTAGAGTATCTTGAAGTATCAACCAAATAGACTACGAAGGGTAGAAAAGCAAAGAAAATGTATTATTTGGGAGGTTGCAGAGACTATGTATTTGGGAACTTATATGGACACACGTACCTCGTAGTTTGGTGCTGATTTCTTTATTGGAATTCACCTCGGCCCGTGCAGCTTGCATGTCTCCGACTAACTGCCAGGTGGTCTCTGTCGTTTCTTGTGAATCGGAGTGATCGGAGGAAGCAAGCGTAGCAGGCGTCACGGTCGACACAACGAGAGAAACAGTGAAGTCTTGAAGAAAATCATCGCAACGCAATCGGGAGCCGTGCGTTACGTTGAACTCCGTAAGAGTTTTATTCAATGTAGCTGAAATGAAGAAAATAATTTGGTGACGATGCTGTGAAACACCACGTGACCTCATAAAGGTTTCTAACTGAACGAGGGAGAGAAGCTGCCAGAAAATTGCTATCTCTGTGGGGGACGGTGGTACCGTCGCAGTGTGAAAAAAACGCGCCGAAGAGGAGGATGAATTACGACAGCAATCTCGCAGGGATAATTGGTGTGGGTTTCAGTTCGTATGTGATAACAGGTCCAGGAAACAGAGCTCTAGAAAAACGTCTACTTGCTCGGCTCGCCACAGTAGAGGAACACAAATACAGCAAACCCCGGATGTAACTGCTACAAGTGGACGAGGAATCCCCATTCGTTGACACAAACGAAGTAGATAAAATATGCGACCTCTACAAAAGGACTGGAAAGGCATATGGGGGTCCGAACGGTTTCGTAGGCACACTCGTTTTCGTTAGAACTCGTGGCTCAAGCGAGAAAGTATGAGATGAACAAACGTGATTTTAAAATGTCACAAGGAATAAGCTTCTGGTCAAAGAAGCCTTTGTGGATATGAAAAAGTAACGGCACAGACAGGATCCAGAAATGTAGTACAGGATTCTCAGGTTAAGCGCAAGACCTAATTAGGAAGCAGTTTCCGTCGTTGACTATAGGAGGGTGAAAACAGTCAACGCAAAGCAGACAACACCATGGATTAGACCAAGAGAGAGGCTGCAGCTACATTAACCACTCTGCTTCTAGTGAAGCGAGAACTGGGCGGAAGGAACGCAGTCTGCATTGTCAATGAACAACGGGTTCACAGGAGATCATGCACACGCGCACGTATGGAGGACATTTCAAGCCCACTACACATGACACATTGTCCTTTCGCTCGGGGTCACATTCATCTTTCGATCTGTCGATTCGCGAGGTTCTTATTGAGTGAGTTGCCATCGCATCTTTACTTCCGCTGGTCGTTTTTGACCGGGCTGGATCCGTTCTAATCCTCTTGACTTGTTTACTACTGGTTGCGTCGCTATGGGTTATACCTGAAGGTGTGGCCAAAGGTATATAACCCCGGAAAATCGGGCTATTCACCACTGTATCCCCTGCTCTTCACGGCCTTGGCCTGAGATCGCTTGTTGCTCGTAGACCATTTCCCGCTTGTTCCGTAGGCCTCGAGCTGCTTTATCGATTTGCGTTTCTGGTGCCCTCGTTAGTTTGCCCCTTCCTTAGTTTCCTTAGTTTCTTGCCTTTCGTGACACCACACAACCAGAAAAGAAGAACAGTCGTGTTCGCAGTATGACGAGTCAAGATCGAGTTGAGGAAGTGCTTGGACCAGATTCAGTTGAACCAACACTGTTGCATTCAGCATGGGGTTATGAAGCCGCTAAGGATAGATATACAATCGGCTAATTGAGTCGAATGGTAAACTGGGTACGTAGGTTAAAAATAAGTGTTAAACAACTAACGGGTAATATGGAAACCGCTAATTTTGCTGTGACGGAAAAATTGGGGCACTAATCTAGCGAGCGCTAACAGGTCTATGGAGTTAGGACATAGCCATAGAGAAGATCGTCTGACCACGTGTTACCGCAGATGCTACTAAAGTCGCGGAAACAGCACTAAAGCACCTTGGCCAAATCAACGAAGTGGCATGGGAACACGCAAATGTTAGTGGTTCAGTTGGTCAATTGTGATTCCGAGTACGGGAGTGTCGCGGATCCAGCTGACATAAATAGCATCGCCAAAAATGATTAAAAATGATCCGTAAAATGAGAGATAGAAAGTGGACAGATAGCAACTAAATCGTCGGACGAAAAGCGCTGAGAGGTGGGAGGAAGAGAGTGAGCGTAAAGCACGACTGACTGCATGACTGTGTGATATCAAAAAGGGGGTTCCCAAAGTGCGGCAGGGCCATTAAATCGGCCGTCGCCTTTTCGATGGAACATTGTTTTTACCCTACATGCCGTGGATACAAGCATTTTCATCAAATATTTTGACACTTTAATCGGCTAGACTACTTCAAGGTCATTAGCGTAGTGGTGCGTTAATCTTTTCAATAAAGACTTTGAGACACCTTGCGTGCTACGCGAGGTTATCAAAAGGCGATCGATCCGATCAACATACTGGGATCTGGTACTGCTTCTTCGATAGGAAACAAATACTACTGATCCACATCATCATGGGAAAGTATTACTTTCACAAATGGGACCGTTTATTCGGGTGACACCTGTGCAATTATTTCCATCAATAACATTTGCATTTTTAACGTTGCTACTTTAGTCTATCCACAGTGGTTATCGTAAAATGTTGAAAATCCACCCACTCGCGTACATAAAGCTTTTGTTGACTTGAATTGACTTGAATCTAACTAAAGCGCCCGGCCAGTTTTGCCATGCTCATTGTCTACAAACAATGAGCCGACCTAAAGTTGTCACAACAAATAATAGTGAACATGAAAGACCATCTGCATCTAGTAAACAAGTGCAGTAACAGTCTCGGGCATTCGAGTACTAGCAGCGGTGTAGAAGAGTTGCTAAGCGTACCTATCGACCAATCGCAGTGGTGTGGACTGGGGATATACAAGTTTAGTTCCATGGAATGATTTGTAGAATGGAGGTGTGAAGCTGCGGCTTACATCAAGCTGCTCAGCTGAACGCGTTTAGCAGTTGGGTTGAAAAACTAGAGCTCGATATCATTCATCCATTTCAAGAATGGTCGGCAATCAACCTGCTAGTTTTGATTTGTCTTACCGATACATATAACAAAGCAACATCATGGTTGTCTTTGATTGCTGAATTATGAGAGCAGAAAGTCGTCAAATTGTCTCTCACGAGTGAAACTAAAGTCTTCAGAAATGGTACCATCAAACACAAAGCAATAGCCCTAAGAGGTGTGCAAAAACCTCCATGCCACATTAAAGCCTAGACATCTGGCCATCCATAAAGCGTAAAGTTCTGCGACCAGAAGGAAGCCGGCTCTACAGGTGACGGACTCCCACGTTTCTAACTTGTTAGCTCATCAGATAAGTTGTCCTTCGATGCGCCCAACACTACGAGACTAGACCTTAACGTGGTATGATGGTCTGCGTGCTTCAACCATCCACTGAGACATGCTAAGTGGTGCTTCTTGCACTTTCAGAGCCAATCATATCAGGCTGGTCAATGGCTAGAGACAAGATAAACTCGGCTGGTTGGCCCTCCACATTGCGGGTCGGAGTGAGAGTGGCTCCTTACTCCATAAAACGGACTCCCTGTAGCCCAGTGACAACCCCGCTGTTTTACCGTCAGATTTTGAGAATCCTATTCGTTCTCCTGTCTAAGCTTGCCCAAACTGACAGTATCCCGCCCAAGAAATGCAGCGAATTCATCTCCAAACAATTCCTTGATCCTCTGGCCAACACATAGGGTAATCAACGGCGTCTTATCTGATGCATCGAGCAGTATGGATAGGAGTAGGGATGCTACTACTCAGGTCTTCCCGTCTTCTTATTCCCCCTATTGCGCTTTTTATCGTTCTCATTCCATTCCAACTTCACTTTTATTCCCGTGGTTTCAGGCCCTCAATTCTTGACCCAACCACTCATGCTTCGACAATCGCTCGTCTTCTAGTTTGGACTCACACGCAATCGCTGGGCGTCGCCCTGGTCCAGTCGACAAGTCCATGTTCAACTAAGCTGACAACGCTTGTGCATCTATTTCTATTTGTAGCCCTCAATCCTCCATAAGACTGGCATGCCTCAACGTGAGCACTTTGTTACAGTTTACCCAACAGACTGCACTTGCCCGAACACTATCGATCGATAGCTGAAGTTTATCGGAAATCCACTACAAGCTTCGAGCTCTGTGATCCCCTACGTCTGATGCTAGTGGTACTTTCTCGTTGCACTTGTCCCGAAATGACGCATCTTGAAATGCCGGTCAAGCCGATGCAAGTATCGCTCTGAGTCACCCGGCTAAAGCTGTCCCGATTGACTGGTTCTCAATCAACAGGCAGATGTGCACCGTCAGACTGGCTGGCTCGTTCCAGGCTCCGAAGTCAAGCGGGGACAAACGGTGCCTGTTTGCCATTGTTACGTACACCCACAAACTGTAGCGCTGAGTCGATGAAAGATGAATTCTATCACCAGCTGAACGAGTCCCTTTGTTACAGAAAATGTATGGATACTGTGATGCTGGCATGTAATTTGAACGCCAGAATTTGAAAACTCCACTGATAAACTGCATCTAGGCGGTCAACAGGGTGTAGGCTCTCGTAATGATAACAGTGGGCGATTGCTATATCTGTGTGAAGATGCTCGCCTATTTCTCTCAAGCATTAACCCACAACATTGGACCAACAGAAGAATGATTTGGCACCTACCAGCTTAGGATGCAAACTGATCACATTGCGGTCGGTTACCGTTGGAGAAACTGTCCAAAAGCATCGCTCGATTCGTAGCGTGAGAGGGAAGTCGGACCACGCAAATGTAAGCGTCGATTTCTCAGTTAGCTTCAGTGAACACCCGCGGCGACGCTGTGACGGCGTAGACCCCAGCCAATTCTTGAAGCCAGGTGTTTTGAATACATACTAAATTACGCTGACACACGAGCTGAGCACTCAATGAACAGAATTGGAGATCACTGGTCGTAAATCGACAGACGTTAATAGCCGCAGACATATCTTCATGTGGAAAAACAAATTGCCAACCTGGACATTAGATCTGTACGCAGTTTCTTGGACTCCTGAATGATAGTCGACATATTCTGACTAGAAGTGAACACAACGAGGCTCACAAAGACAGCAGAGAAAAACTGCGTGTCTAGTCCAGTGATGCTCGACGTGTTGAGATGGAGCACTAACGTATGCATCTGATAAGGTAGCTACATAAGCTAGTTGAGTGGATGGGTTGGCTAGCGTGTTTCGATGAATCACCAAAGCGCTTGCAGATGCCTACACAGGCCAGAGCATGATCGGAGTCGATTCAGGTTGATATGACCAATCTACAATCCCGTACCGCCCAGCCATCTGAAGCTAATTGCAAATTGATCAATTTGTGACTATGCTTGCATTGGTGAAGGACGTCAAGTGGTGGCGCATCTCTACGAATGGCTGAAATTCGTGCTCGAGAGAAAGAGCTGATTGTCCTCACGTAACGTTAAAAGTCTATCACCGTTGTCAGATCGATTCTCGTCAATGGCATGGCAGCCACCAAGATGACTTCCGCATGACAGCAGACCCGTGCAACGAGGTCTTCGATAAGGACGACGACATCGGATTTTTCGGCTTTACTCAAAAGCTGGTGAAGTGCGCGATAAAAGTCGTTCTTAGCCGATGCGCAAATGCAGTCGGTTGGAACGTAGGTGGAGATCGCAAACAAACTGTGTCCCTTTTTACAATGTCTGTTGATCCTGCATGAGTCTCGAAGTCGAACCGCGCAAAATCGGCTGTCATTCGAGAACCGACTGAACAGCGAAGCCTCGGTTTTTCACTCAATGCGATGCTACAGCTCATGATTCGCCTCTAATACCACATGACTCCTTATCGATGCATTGGGATTTCTCAGGTTCGATTTCAGCGCTGTCAAGAACGTGAATAAAAGCAATTGATTAAAACTGTATTTCCGAAATCGGTTCTTAACCGGCCAAGTGAATGAAGCAGCCGCAATGTATTTACATTGGAGCCAGATGTATCACAAGTTCATAGTAGGTAAGAGATTATGCGAAATGATTATGTCAGGCTTTGACCCAACAGCTCTTGCGCCTACTGTGATCGACAGCGATAATCAGGAACGGTTCTCATTCGGAAGTATGAATGCGCTTAAAAGATCTGAATCGCATCTAGGGGAATCAAAGGCGAATCGGGAATTAGGGGATTCAAGCTATACAACTAGTCTTCTTATTTCGAAGTCTTCGACGGAGATTGTAGATAGCAATTGGAGTGCAAAACCAGTACGATCTGTGCAAGCTGGATGATGTGACTAAGCGCGGATAGTAACGAGTAGATAGTTGTAATATTGCGTGGAACCGCAGACACAAACGCTTACGGGAGACGTAAAAGTTACTGTTCTCAGTGAGCAAATCAAGTCAGATAAGCATACTCATCACCTCACCTTCATCGGTTTCGCCGTCCTCACTTGAAATCAGTATGATGTTTCTGTCTTCAAGTTCTACATCGGGAGCTAACATTCCCAAATGTCGAATGAGGATTTGGTCACGTAGTGTCCGCAAAGTTAGACGAGACGGACAGCAGTGGAAACCAAGCATTGACTTGGTGGCTTTGGCACTGCATACTAAGCAGTGGGGGTTCGGATGAGGAGGTTGGCACGGGACCACCACACGCCTATTGCCGGCTCGTCCAGTTGATTGTCTGTGAAGATAGAGAGTTTTGATGTTCTAAATGGATAAGTGAGTGATAGAGATCAGTTAGCTGACATCGTACATTAGGAGGCCACATTCCCCGGAAGCAGGGAAAATCATCTAGAGTATCAAAATGACCCGGTCAATGAGGAGAACGTGGAGCATAATAGCTCTATATGACGAAAAGACTAGAAAGTTCAATCGAGATACTGAACGGGCTGGTAGGGTTTGATCCATGGTTCATAATGTAACGTGGATACAACGTGGATACTCATGAATAAGGTGATATGCTGTACGATACAGTAGTAGACTGAGAATACGGTCCCAGACTCAAGCCACCTGGTTAATGGACACTCCACGTACCAGTCAAATGCGGATTGTTAAAAGCAGTAAATAAAACACACCAATGTCAGAGTCTGGAAAATCCATCGCAAGGTATCGACGTCACACAACTAAGTAAAACTATGCAGCGTTCGCACACGCGTGGCAGCCTCGTTTGTATACGTGGAACGTCGGCTGTGTCCGGAAACCGTGTGCCTCGCACTCTCTAGTTACTAAGTAGCTTGCTGCGTATACAAACATGCATAAGATTACATGCGGAAATTACCGGACGCTTTCTCTACGTTAACGAAGCTTAGAGCGCAAATGGAATCGTCGGACGAGATGGATCGTACAAGCATGGATGCAATGTTTAAAGTAACGCAGATGGGGTAAGTGATCAAGAGTGTGATTCCTCTAGCAAGACAGAATCATGAACGGATACTCAAAGTATTGAATGCGGGAAATGAGCTGAGCTGGAAAGTGGAAGGCATAAAAAAGTGAACGCTGGTAGCGAGCGTTTTCAGTTTTGAACGACCACAGGCGAATCTTGCCCGTCAACTGCTTATCAGTGTCAGAAGCAATGGGAAAGACAGCTTCCTTCAGGGAAATTTAGTCGGCACCTTCACATATTATATGCACTGGAGAACAGTGGATCTAGCTAAAGGACCAGAATTCACCCGGACATCACAACTCAAAAGACGGAGGCAATCGTTGCGTAGAGACGATAAGTGAATCGATTCGTACAATGCAACTGTCTGTGTCATACAACGAAACTTATTCATCATGATGATGTTTGCTGTCCCAACTCAGCAAAACTAAGCTGCAGGTTTCTGATGAACCGGATAAGTCATGGGCGGTTAGTTCAGAGGCTCCGTCGGAGGCTGAGGTCCGAAACGCAACCGTAGCTCTTAATCGTCTTTTTGCTGGTGCCCCAGTTCCCTCCCATCTGCGCTATTTAAGGATGGTGGTGAGGTCTTCTGCAAAGCACTGACTTCCTTGTTCGAATATGTCTGGAAGGAATAGACTGTCCCGGCCAACTGGAGCGAATCGATTGTACTGGCCATATGCACGATGGTCAGCCACACCGACTGTGCTAACCACAGGGGTATTAGTCTAACGCCAATTGTGTCAAAATTACCGGCCTCAATTCTCGTTCGTCGCCTCATTGCGAAACGTGAACCGTGTCAGAGGTGGGAAAAAGCAGAACCTTTGCCATTCCGGAATGCGCTATGTCTCCCAAAGAGACTGCGTAATAGACAAGTGTAATACATAAACACGAAGATTGAGGAAGATGGCGATGGGGGGAGGTTGAGGCCAAAGGGAGAGCAATGAATGATGAAGCAAAGTTCGATAGTGGAAGCTGTATTTTCTCCGTACTTACAAGGTCACCCATTAGGATCAAATAAGGTAAAGGAAGTTCTACAACCAAGGAGATGCAAAGCAACACGGCCAAACATGATGGTTAAATACACTGAGTTTTGTGCTCGGTAAGCATTTCGTAAATCGGAGTCGTAACGCGTTGCGCTAGGGTTAGATTATGATGTAATTCTTCAAGCAACACACTGCAGTGTGCCGATGAATGTGGATAGTAATATTAAATATGTAAGCATCGATGCTGTGAAGAAGCGGGCGTTTATACTAGGTATGTATGTATGTCTGGAGACATGCAACGGCCCAGAAACAGAAAACCGTGTGAAATTCACCTGTGCAACACAATGGTTGGCGGCATCCGGTTTCGGACTTGCCTGTCACTGTGGCAAGCCACAGGATGCCTGCGCCTACAGAGGGACCATGGATGGCTTGCGCTGCACCACCCACAGCTCCAACCACATACCCCATATCCAGTGTAAACCCGAAGGAATAAGACCGGGAGGCATGCGGATGGGAACCACGTTTCGTCAACGGAGCCGGCCCACACTCCTTCACAGGCAAACACAAGCACGCTGTATTTGGGGAATCAAGCGCACACAAGGCGGTGGCTGGACCGTAGTCCGCTCCACACTGAGTGCATGGAACCGCTCTTTGAGCCTAGCACGGCCACAAGAACCGTGCACCCCGTCCCCTCCAGCAACGACCAACTGTCTCCTGGAGCCAGTAGGAACGATGTAGTGGGTAATAGACAGGTAGGCACCTTGTCAACATACACATCAAACGCAACCATACCAGGGATATCAAACAACAGCCATTCACTTTAAACAACAAGCTGAAATAAAATAAATCCAATAATGCATACAGATACGGTGGCATAACTCTACGCTAAATTACCATATGAAGTAATTTGGTTAGCAACAAATCCGTGATACGGAAGAAATGTCCACAAGTTACTTAAAATACTACAAACGCAACAAAATTACCGAAGATAAGCGCAATTAGTGTAAGCAACGTGGCCAGTTAATAGAACATTATTCAGGGAGGCAGAACAAACCAAATAAAGCGGAATGAAATCTATTCAGCTTAAAAAGACCTAGTTTAAGTGTAAGTTGGTTTAGCCCAACTGCGGTGAAGAAGCATCAAGAATGCAACATCAGCCTCAGCATGGGGCAACACAATAGGTTGACTGAAATCACTTGGGCGCTCAACGTGGCGTAACTAAATGGATGAGACACGCGATTATTATAATCGTCGGGAAAGCGGTAATGATGCTACACAAACCACCTGCCTTAGGTAGCAATCGATGGTTGCCACCAAGTAAGTACAAAGTGCAAACCGAATATTAGGCTGTTCAGGTAACATCAGGGATAACTGAGATTGGGATACCCAGCGACGTTACCGAGTCCAAAGAGGCACTTGATAACCCATCTGTTCCCTATGAGACTGAAGAAAGATTTACTTAGCTGAATGGACCGGTGGTGAGTGCCGTCTGCCGTGACGTACCTGCATAACATCACCATCATTGCTAGGTGTTGATGAGATCAAGAACCGTATAGTAAAAGCAAGAGGCGCTTTCGCTAATCTCCGTCATCTGTGGCGCCGATGCGACATTACTCTCGCATTGAAAGGCAGAGTTTACAATGCGGCCGTCCGTTCAACCCTCCCATACGGTTGTGAGACTTAGCCTATCAGATCGACAGACAAAGAAGGCTAGTCACGTTCCATCATCACTGCCTTCGCAGTTTAGCTAATGTCTGGTGGGAGCACCGCGTGACCAATGAGCGTGTTCGACGTCGCGTAACTGGTGCAGGAAGAGCGAGTAAACCGCTCAGCACCATTATATCACGTATCAGTCTCCGATTAGTGGGTCACGCGTTGCGCATGATAGCACACCGACACCCGCATCGTGTGTTGTTTGCTCGCCAGGGGTGCGGCTGGAAGATGAAGAAAGGACGCTAAGGGAGGAATGGTGCATGCCGACTGCCTGACTGGGGTCCAAAGGACGGTGAACACGTCTGGTTGGATACACTAATTGACATGGTAAGGAACAGAATTCAGTGGCGTTTGGTTGTGAGTTTCTTTATCCCTCCTTATCACGCTTATCCTCCACCTCCAACCACGATCTCTCTCTTGAAGCATAAGTAGCACGTCGGAATGTCGTTATAGCAAGTCAACCAATACGACCCACGTACGCCCAGGACACGGAATCCTTCGGAACTCTTAACGGGACGAATGCTACACCACTAATAAAATCAGGAGGCATAAAGATCACCTGAAGAAGCCAGATGAAATTCACGGTGGGCACGTACAACCCCTTCAACAGTATACGTAAAGAAGCTTCGGAATTCCTTAAGGAAACCGGAATACTGGTGTTATAAACTGTCAAGTGCAGAAAAAATCAATGCTCTCTAATGCTTGGCATGGTAATCGCGAACAAGGCGTATATACTCTCAACGTTCTCACTCTCCATGCAAGAGCATGGGATTTGTGTACATATTGATGTGATTCCTCGCGTGCACAGCATCTAGCAACAGTTGATAAATATACCTTTAATTTGTTGCCTGGTTGCTGCATTCTGTACTTTTCAATATCTTGCTTTTTATTATCTTGCTAGCTTTGTGTTTCGCGGCCGAGTAGGTAAAGTGTATTTCTTACTTTAACCTAATGTGTAATGCTGTTAAACATGATGATGAAGATAAACCACGCCCAATGTCAACGTAGTTCCCAGAGGTAGGGAAAATCGCGATTCATTGTAGCTGGTTGTTCGGAAAGTAATTTGATTATTTTAATGAAAATGAAAAACGATTTGTTTATAGTGAATTAATATTTTATTAAATTATATATTGTCCATTACGATCCAATACTTGTTGCCATCTTTCTGGGAGTAGCCTGATTCCACGCTCATAACACGGTTTTTCTTTGCAGTCAAAAACTATTGCAGGTGATTTTTGACCTAATTTGAGGTAAAGGTTTTACCGTGAAAACATTTTGAGGAGACGGGAACAAATAATAATCAGAAGATGTCAGATCTGGGGAATACGGTGTGTGTGGTAGTACATTCCATCCAAGCTGTAAAAGCTTTTGACGAGCTAGCAAACTTGTATGAGGTCTCGCATTATCTTGGCAGAACATAACACCTTTTCTATTGATCAAGTCTGGCCTCTTATGTTGGTGAATCATTCAATTTGTCCAGCTAATGACAGTATAGTTCAGAATATATCGTTGTGTTGTCCGGAAGAAGCTCAAAGAAACAATTCCTTTGAAATCCCACCAAACCGATAGCAACAACATATTTTTGATGATTATCAACTTTGGAAATGCTTTGAGCCGGTTCATCTTTTTTACTCCATGATCTCTTGCCTTTAACATTGTTGTAGACAATCCATTTCTCGTCCCCAGTGATGATGCGCTTCAAAAACGGATCATTTTCTCGCAGTATGAGAAGTAAATCACAGAAGTCAACGCGATGACACAAATGTCTTTCAGTATGAATATGAGGAGCCCATATGTCCAGCTTTGAAAGTAAACCTAGGCATTTCAGATCATCGTAAACAGATGAAGTCGAAAAATTTGATCACTCCGCGATTTCAAGTTGTTATTCGCCGGTTTGTATCAATTAGTGCCTTTATTGTGTCTTCAGCTGGTCTTCCATAACGTGGTGCGTCTTCAACAACAAAACTGCCAGATCGAAATTTTGCAAACCAGTTTTGGCACCGGCGTTCAGTCAATACAACTTCTCCATATACATCGGACAATTTTTCTTGCTTAAACAGCATTTTTACCGTTTCGATAGTAAAAAAGTGAAATATGCCGAAAAAAATGCTTTTCACTCTCCATATTTGCAAGGGCGCCAAAAGAAAAATACTGCGGGGAATCAATCGAATTTTTCACAAGCAAGTCTTGCTATGTCAGTTATCAAAATATAAAAAATGTGGCTTAAGTGTGAAGTTGGCTGTAAAAAATACCATTAAATCTTACGTTGGGAAATAATGAAATTACTATCCGAACAACCAGATAATATAGTCCGATGTGAGAGTGCGTGCCGAAACCCGTCAAATAAAAGCGTTGATGGATCTTAGACGTTGCCTATAACCGTTGTTCAGTTATTTGAGTGTGAATGCATACTGAGGTATCGCGATTAAATGGTTCAGAGAACTAGAGATCTATATAAATCATTAAAATTGGCTAGGGTTCAAGAGTGTACTTCATGTGCAAGATGATCAAATTCGACATTCGATTTTTCTTCCATAAAAGTGGCACTAGGTCAGATGAATTTGTCTACAGTTTCTTGGGGTCGAAAGCAAAAGTCGAATGCTATGTTCAGCACTTACGGTTGAGACAAACAAACCAAACTGAATAATTGCACACAATTGAAATCCCCCTGTGCCTCAATGCAAGACACGATGAGCTAGTTGAGTGCAAGCTTGTCTTGTTGTACAGTGAGCAGGACACATATGTGTGCTGTACCACTGACGTGTTAGTAGGAAAAGGAGATATTTTTAAACAGGTGGGGTGATAAGGTGCGTGTGTGTATGGAAAGCAACGTCGTCAAAAACGACAGCAAACTCACATGGGAATTTCCCAGAACAATTTGTCTTGCCTGAAGAACCATGAGGCCAGCAACAATGGCGTTCGTAGTTGCGATGGCTGGAATGATATTCCCGGCCAAAGACTTGATGATAAATCGAGTGAGTTTATCGGCTCCAGGCAAGTGAAACAGCATACTACGGATGATGGATGCACTGGCAACGAAATCCATGGCCTCCGCGTCATCCTGCGGATGCAGAAACCCAGATGAAAGGATCGCAAGCGCAAAACGAAATCGAACTTATTAATGTCATGATAATGAAGCGATAATTGAAGTGGGTATATGGAAAGAAGATACAAGTCGCGTAAGCAAGAGGACTTACTTTATCCCATGTCAGCGCCTTGCAAGAACCAGAAATGAATCGGTTTTGTAGAGCAAGCACACTGTCCATGAACAAGCGTAACCAGCCGGTTAAGGACAAAGTACATTGATCCCGAAGCTCACATGTACTGGCAGAGAGGGTTGGTTGGGATGCTGGCAACGAGATAAAGTGGGTCAGAAAGTAACTGAATACTGTATTGTTGGAACAAATAGAGATTTAAATCTGTACAACTCCATCGGAATATAATCAAAATGTCATAATAGGTATCCACCATCTGTTGATACTCTGAATTCTCCAAGTGCTTATGTAGAGTTTAAAATTGTCTAACAGTATCATTGGGCTCACAAATGTAAGAGGTCAATGCAAATGTGTAATCATTCTCCGAATCGAATTGCGGCGAAATACAAATCCAACAACATGTTAAGCTGCTGCACAAATCTGGCATCCACGACTTGTTCTGGTAGGCTGCTCCAAACATGTACCATGCTTCGTTCGAAGCACAAGACTGGGGTAGTTGTTTTATATTTAGGCGCCACAAGCTTATATCGGTTTCCGCATACGTTGCATGGCGTTCGCAAGTGAAGCAGCGACCTCAACATTGGGATGTCACCGAGATATAATATGCGGCGGGTCACGATGAGATCGACTCACAGTCGACGACAAGATGTAGGGTCCTAGTACCACACAGCGGCCTTCGTACGGAAATTCTCGTAAACCAGGAGTGAGCCTGGTTGCGACGTGCCGGACCAGCTCGATCTTATTTGCTTCGCTTTAGATGATTGGACAATAGGTGAGTGAGCCGCACTCTAGTATTGGTCATAAAATGGAACAGAAGTGGCGAGCGGCGACCTCTTCAGACTAAGTACAAAAGCTACGTTCGAACGCCCATAGCATGCGCAGTCCGTTACAATATAGTTGAGCTGAGTTAAGTACTCATGACGAGAATACACCGTGGTCCTTCACCGAAGGCGTGGAATATAGCAGTTAGACGTCAACTGTGTAGGTTCGGTCGTCATCACCAGGCCCATGAATACTGCCTTGCAAGGGTTGATTGGGATGTGGATCTTTGTCACGGAGGCGAAACAGCTGACTATGATGGTGCACACTAACGGGGCGAGATTGGCCAGACCACGTAAGCGGCTGACAGAATCGTTGTCATGGTCAAACCGGAAGCTGACGGAATCAGACCGTCATCGCCGCACGGGTTGTTATGTTGCGGACGTGGTTTTACCTACAGTCAGACAGTGATGGCCGCTACCAGAGTCGAATCTGTTCAGACAAAAGATGTGAGTCACCTCAGTGATAGCGGCGAGGTAAGCGCATGTGACCTATAAAAGTAGCTATGTTCTGTGCCTAATATACTTCGGTCTAGCAGGCTCGGCGTTTTGTTTTCCCCGGCTGGTTGGTAGCGCAGAGAGATAGAGGCGAAGGGCAGCGTCACAACAACCTTTGAGAGGACCACGTGCAGAGGCGGCTGAGGTTTCGCTGAAGCAGGCAGCAGTCGCCAGAGGTGCTAATCACTCTCCAAATATTTAGGTCATCCACAAACAGGGTACACGGCAACTGAAGAAGCTGAGGTAGATAGTTGATGTGGATTATGAACAACGTGGGCCACAGCATCGTGCCTTGGAGCAGTCTACTGATAGAGGGATACCGGTCGGTTAGGTAGCCAGTGACCTGTACACAATTTCTTCCAACGATGAAATCATGGATCCATTCGTGCAATGATCGACCAACACCGCAAACTATCAGCTGTCGAGGAAGACCTCGTGGTTTATCAAGTTGAACGCTTTGCTAAAATCGATGTAAAGTACGTCTACAAACATCCCATGGTTCACTACATGCAACCATTCATGCCCCGTCACCAGCAAGCAACACATGAGCGCCCTAGCATAAAACTCTGCTGTGAGGGTATTGGGTGGATCTTTTGATTGGAACAGCCGATCTAAATTTCGGACACTTCAGTGGTACAAACAGAGAACACAGTAATGTCACTCCCACTTTTATGATAGTAAACAGTCTTGCACGGATGCAGCTTGCGGCAAGCACGAGTCCACTTGCCTCGCCGTAGACCGTCGAAGCCAGTTTTCCAGTTGCAGTCTGCCTCCAGCGTACCGGAATATGGTAAAGGTAGATCTATGCTAACTATGAGCACTGAGCGGGCTCCTGGATCTGAACGTCGTCCACAAGTTCCGCAACTTGTGAACGTCAAGTCTAGGCACGACGGAGTTGTGTGCGGCTTTGTACGTGTCGGTTGACATGTGTTGCGTTGCCCCACTTTTAAATAACAGGTACACAAATTTTGCTTAGACCTCACAATGTCCGGGCAAAAGTTGGAGTTCAGACCACCGTATTCGAGGACAAATGAAGTTACCCAGAAGTCGAGAATGCGGACGACTCATGTGGCTTCGGAGACGCGGCAGCCAACCAAACGTCGAAGGGAACTGTGATAAACTGAACTCACGAGCGGCTCTACGCGCCTGAGGTGGGTCGAACACCACAGCTGGTCACATAAGTTAAAAGGCAAGAAAAAGCACTGTGTACGGAAAAATGGGACAGCTGACTCAAAAATACTGTTGTGGGTAGCTGATTATGGTAAGAGAATGATCTGGACAAGTCGTATAGCAGCAATGAAGGTAAAAAAAAAGTATTAAGCTCGAACGAGCAGCACCCCGTAGAATAACAGTATGGAAATCGGGACAGGGTTGAATGAAATAAAGGCACATGCGATGGAAAAGCGAATAGTGCCTAAGTTTATTTTGTTGAGTCGGATATCGGGTAGCGCATGACCCGAACCAAAAGAGCACTTGTGTAGCAACACATTAAAGAAAATGCGCCTAATGATGGCGATTCCGTATGGGTAAGTATGAACAATAAGCACAAGTATGTAGTGCGCTGGTAAACGGGAATGAGAGTGGAGGTGGAGAAATCCACCAACAACAAGCGGAGCATTCAGCCTGATTGCGAACAAGTCGGTCACAATACATCAGCGAGGTCAAAGTCCACGGGAGGGCGGATAACCAATAGACTCTGTTGTTGAAGATCATCATGCGACGTTCCCTCTCCATCCAGTCTATGACAACAAAGTCGAAGGTCATGGCAAAAGAGCTGGAGCTGGTTTGGAAATACTGGAGTGGCCGATAGTGTGGAAACCAGATGGACGCACCAGTTTGACCACAGTTCGGTCAATTTCCTTATGTCCTTATACCAGAGTATCGGTTGACTACCTGAATTCAGCCGGTGGCAGAAAACACTACACAGTGATGGTATAAAGACAAACGAGCAATGTGAATTAGCCAGTGCAAGCAGTGGAAATCAGACAGTGCAGCGCGGCCGTAAGGTTTACAGCCAAACACCAGGTGAGGCCGGGCATGATTTAATTAGTGGTTCCGCCAGACGCCAGCGATGTTTCGTGAGCACCGGCGATCAACAACGCCTAGCCTGTAAATGCGCTTAACGAGCTATGGACGTGCGTGCGTGTCTGACTCATGGAGTAACAATGGGCGAAGTACAGTTATGAATACTCCACTCTTCACAAATAAGCCAACATCACACCATATTCCTGGTGAGGTTACGCTTCGAATAGCCGTCACACAGGCCTTATCGACACGAGCAAGTACGTCCTCAGCGATCTGATCAGACGTTACACAAATACTTAGTCTGCTGAAATGAGTCGTCGAGCGAATGTCGGTGATAAGGAGAAATCGTGATGTTTCGCCCAATGCCCAAGTGTTCATTTTGAAGCGACAAAAAGGCGTCCGTAGTACGCCAGTATGCAGTCCGACGCTTCGCTGCCGCGCAACCAACATCGGTCGCACGTGGGCTAGGATACTACGAGGGTCAACCTGCACCTAAGCATGCAGGAACCCGCGCCGCAAGATTACGAGACAAGCTCGTTACCACTAGGCTACGGGCCGGCGCCAAACACATACCAGAGTGCACTCCAGTCTGGAGAGAAGCGATTGCAAAGAAGTAAGGTGTGTTCCTAAAGCCACGACATCATGTGCGAGTCCTAAGTTGGTCAATTTATCTAAGCTCTGATTAGTGGATCATTTCGAGGCACTGGTTGAGTGAATGGATGGCGATGCGTAATCTCAATGTAGACCACGATTCACATTAAAGTGAATCTTGGTCAATTCGATCACTGGGACCTTAAGTGGTGAAAAAGATGAATACTGCGTGTTGCTAAAGGGTTAGACATTCCCAAATAACCTACCAGTGGTTCAAGGTACGATGCCTGCTATCTCTGCCTTATGAGATCAAATAAATTCGGAAGCGGTTGCAGTGTCGTGTTTTCGGGCGGCAAAACTTAATATTCATTTGTTTAATCTCTCTTATTGAAGAGGCATAGACGGCAAACTCATCCGTGGTCTTTTAGACCAAAAAATGTGAGGTAAGGAGATAGGAAGCAGATGCGATGCATTCATTCATCAGCCAATTCGAAACGATCACACAGCATCGAGAGCTGTCGTGATGTGGACCGGAAATAGAAAATAAATCTTCCCATGTACATTTCAAAGACAACGACACAAATAGACGAGGTCAATCGATTAGAAAGAGCACCTGATGACGGTCACGGTGGATCATCTTTGTAGTCAGCGCTGTTGCTGGACGTAGCGTAGTACAAGCGATAATCGGTAATTCATTGATTCCTCCTGCTTAGGAACAGGACTGCACATATGAGAGGTTTGGAAACGACTGCACTAACGCCACGGTGAATTGTGCACACAGCATCCGGTGACATTAGCTAAGAGTGCGCCAGGTGGGCTTAGATAATCTTGTAAACCATAACGAAATAGCAGATCAGTTACACTGATTTTGAGTGCTCAGACCAAATCTCAATTCGACGAGTGTATGAATCGGGTTCCCATCCCGCTCCGCTGCAACTTTACCTATAGAAGTTTCAATCAGGCTGTCGTATCTGACCCAGTTGGAGAGATGCCCCACCGCCCTTGAGAACTCCGCTCCTTCACTGGAAGGGAGACTTCAAAGTTGGGTTGTCCGTGTTGGGAAAGAGAAGCACTGAAACTCCTCCATTTCAGATAAAGGCGACCTCGAGTAAACCACGAAATCAAATAAACAAAACACATCATATGACCCTGCAGTACTCTAATTTTCTGTGTTGTAGATGAACTAAAACATGGTCTCGAAAGCGTATTGGAGAATATTTTGAGCGGCATTGGGCTAAATCACCTCGTTCGCGTCAAATTTAGCTAACCATCCAAACCGAAGTATTAGTGTCACTCGTAGGTCGAAAAATTAGTCAACCAGCAGGCAATCTCTAAGTTAGATGTTCTGCTGTGACAAATAAATTTGGCATCAGAAACAGTCGCAAATGAAGTAAGTTCTCTAAATCAACACCAAATGTTGGATTGAACGAACGTGATGTGGCGCAGGGTGGTCGTTCATTCTGCCGTAGGAAAGCTACATGATGTGCAGGTTTGCGCTGAAAAGCAGTGTCCTCGCTATAGGGATAGCATCCGGAATTTAGCTGTTAATGAGATGATCGTTGCCAACAAAACGAGAAGCACAGTGCCCTAATCTAATACTGAACGGCGAGTTAGAGTGCTCATGTTAACAATTCATCATTATCATCATTATACACGTGAGCCGCAGGTGGAAAACACCTCAGCTATTGTGCCGCACTACAGAAGACAAAAATAAAAAAACAAAAGCAACAGAGGCACGCCGGCTAAATCCCCAGTAACAGATGGACATCGTTCCGGAGAGCTAACAGTCGGCTATCGTGCCGCAAAAAGTTATATTATGCCTAACGAATGCGATCATTAATGGAGAGCGAGGCTAAGCAGGAGGGGAATGGACAAAAGAACTCACAACACAAACGCCATTGGGGCCGGCTCCAAGCCATATCAGCAAGTGTGTCCAACCAAACGTGTTCACCATCCTTAGGACCCCAGCCAGGCAATCGGGATGCACCAACCGACGCCAACTTCGAAGTGAGGGTTTTCATTTCTCTCGACCAAGTCATCACTTGGCCTCCCCTCCTCCTCTTCCAACCGCACCCACAACGCGCAAACAATGCACGTCGCGGGAGTCGGTGTGCTGGCATGCGAAACACGTGGCCCAGCCATCGGAGCCTGGTGCGTGATATAATCGTGCTGAGCGGTTCACTCGCTCTTCCTGCACCAAATACGCGACGCCGAACACGCTCATTGCTCACGCAGTGCTCCCACCAGACATGAGCTAAGCTGCGAAGGTAGCGATGGTCGAATGTGGCGAGTCTCTTTATGTCTGTCGACCTGGTGGGCCAGGTTTCACAGCCATATAGGAGAGTTAAACGGACGGCTGCGTTATAAACTCTGCCCTTCAGGGCGAATGTCGCATCTGCGCTAAAGATGGCGGAGATTGGCAAAAGCACCTCCAGCTTTTGCTATACGGTTCGTAACCTCATATTTGATCCCACGGACGCTAATATAGATGCCCAGGTACATGAATTCCTGAACGACTTCTAGCAGATCACCACAAAGCGTTAGCGTAAGGGTAGGTCACTGCCAATATTAGAGAAGTAATTTGCATTTCGATGGAGCAAAGCATAGACCAAAACGATTGACAGCCAGTGCTAATCGGTCTAGTGTTGCTTGGCATGTTTGGGAGCTGTCACAGATTAGGGCAATATCGTCCGCATACTCCAAGTCAAGAAGTCGCTCACAAAGAAGTAGCTCCACATCTTCTAGGTCGTGTCCAGCGAATGTCGATTCCATGACCTCGTCAACTGCGAAGTTACATAGGAAAGGTGACAACGGGCAACCTTGTCTCAAACCGCTGGTGACACTGAAGTGTGGCGACAGTTTGTCATAAACCCTAACTCTGCCCGAACTATGCGCGTAAAGCGCATTAATAATGTTTACGTATATTTCAGACACACCTTTCCTCAGCAGACAGGCCCAAAAGGCACATCGATCGACTGAGTCGAAGGCAACTTTTATGTCAAGAAACACGACAACGGTGGGTCGCCAATGAACATGGCGGTGCTTTAATAATTGACCCAAGGTGAAGATGTAGTCGATGCAGCCCTGACCTCGACGAAATTCGGTTTGCTCTTCCCGAATCTGGTACTCACGGGTGCCATTCTATCTGTGGAGAATGACAAAGGCAAGTAATTTAAAGGCAATGGAGATCAGACTGATCCCTCTATGATTGTCGCATTCCGAACGGGAGCCTCCCATGAAAATTGAGACGATGACGGAGCGGCTCCAGTCTGTCAGGGCAGTCTCCTGCTCCCAAAGTTTTACTAGCAACTCGTGTAAATGATCAACTAGAGCAGGTCCCCCAAATTTGAAGACGGCTGGGGGAATTCTATCTGCCACTGCGGCCTTATGCCTGATCTCACATTCGAGTTCTGCGCGTGAGGGCGGATCCAAGGAGACGGTCCGGAGAGAAGGGCGCTCAATGCCCGAAAAAGAAAGCGATAACTCAGGTTGGTTAAATTGACTTGCAAAGTGTTCGGCCCAACTCTCTAACCGTTTTGACAGGCTGTGGATCGGCTGCCCACTCTCGTCACGTACTGTCTCGCTAACACCAGATCTCCTGCTGCTTGTTGCCCGTAGCAGACGAAATAAATCACGATGATTATTAACGGTTGCAGCTGTTTCGATCTCAGAGGCACGATGATACCACCAGGCTTCGCGGTCTTTCTTCAGGCTATCACGTAGTTTTGCTCTGAGATTTTTGCAAGTCTCAGTGTATTCGTTTCCAGCCAAAGTACGTTGGTAAACATCCATAAGTTTCAGAGACTTTTTAGAGACCCAATGTTTGGGTTGGCAATTTGATTTGCCACATGAAGAGATGTCTGTTAACAGTGACGTTCGATGAATATGCGACCAGTGATCTTCGACGGTGTTCAGTGGACGCATACTCAGCCCAGGTGTCGGCACACTTTGGTACACATTCAGAACACCTAGATTCGCCAGCTGGTTGATGTCAATCTGTTCACCTCGGCGTTGCGGACGTCCACCGAAACACACCCGGAGGTTGGCGCAGAGAAGTGCGTGGTCAGAGTCCACGCTCGTGCTCCAAATCGAGCGACAGTTTTGGACACAGCCTCACCAGCGGTAAGTGATCGCGATATGATCGATTTGCGTCCATGGCTGGCCCGAGGCTGGTGGTCGCCAAGTCACACTTCGGCGGGTGCTGTGTTGAAAGCTTGTGCTCGCGAGAAAGAGACGAGCATCTTCAAATAGCTGTAGCAATCGCTCACCGTTATCAGTACGGGAGCCTACACCACGTTGGCCGCCCAAATGAAGCTCATCATACGACAAATTTCCGACTTGGGCGTTTAGACCGCCTGCCAACATCACAGTATCCGTGCTTCTTCTGTAACGAAGGAGCTTGTGAAGTTGCTGATAGAAATCATCTTTTACCGAATCAGTGCAACAGTTTGTAGGGGCGTAGGCCGCAATGACAAACAGGCACCGTTTGCCCCCGCGGGACTTCGTAGCACGGAACGAACCAGCTAATCTAACGGCGCACATCCTACTGTTTACTGGGATCCAATCAATCAGGGCAGCTTCAGCCCGGGGACTCAAAACAATGCCGACGCCAGCTTGACCGGCATTTGAAGCTGCATCATGGCCAGACAGGCGTAACGAGAACGTGGCGGCAGTATCGCATGTGGTGGATCGCAGGATAACCACGGAGCTCGAATCTTACAGGGGGTTCCGATAAACAGCAAATATCGATCAATAGGGTCTCTAGTGTGCGATCAAGTGTTGCCTGTTGGCCAATCTGCAGCAAAGTGCGCACGTTGAGGCATGCCAGTTTTAGTGAGACGCGAAGACTCCAAAGGGAAACGGATGAACTGACGTTGTCCGTTTGGTCGAACATGGACTTGTCGACTGGAGTGGAGCGACGCCATGCGACTGTGTGTGAGCTGAAACTAGAAGACAAGTGACTACTGAAACAAGGTGGGGAAGGGCCAAGAATTGGGGGATTAAAATGGGGTGATAAAAGTAAAGTTGGAGCGGGACGATAATGATGGAAAAGCGCAAGATGGGGGATAAGAAGACGGGAAGGCCTGAGCGGTTGCATCCATACCCCTATCCACCCTGCTCGATGCAGCAGATAGAGCGCCGTTGATTATCCTAGGCGACGGCCAGAGCATCAAGAAAGTGTTAACAATTACTGTCACAACGTTCGCAGTCCTAGTTATTCAGGTGAGGAGTTATAGCTGAAAACACCTTTAATAGCTGAAAACGTCCTGGTTGACGTAGGGGGCAACAGAGATCTAAAAAATGAGGAAACCCGTGTGTTGATTCAATGCTTAGTAGAAATGGTTGAGCCTCAAGGCTGAACTACAAACGTAAAGCTTGGTTCCGCTCGGAAGAGGTGCTCATCGCACATGAAATTGGCGTGAGCATGATACCGCAAATACCCCCGACTATCAATCGGCATCACAATCGATGATTGTGATCACAGCTACTCCGGATATGAGGCAGGTAGTTGGAAGGTTGGTCGCAACGAGGCTGGCACGTAGGTCAACAGGGGACAAGAGATAGCACGGAATGCAGAGCGAGAGGACAGTCATCCTTTTACTAACATGACGACTGAATATAAGTCCGTAGAATCCCATTAATGACTTGCAACAATGAGTTAAATGTCCTACAAAGGAGTAGTCTGCATCAGACCGGTAACGTATATCACAGCGGTTCAAATGTGTAGGATATGTAAAAAGGCGACAGGCGTCCTACGCATGCTCGGTCTACAAATGGAGGCTTAGGCTTAAAAGGTACATACCTGCCTTACTTGAAACAGCTTCATCTAATGCAGAGGCGCGCAAAACACTCGGTTCGCGGCGATCCTGGCGATCGACCCACAAATCCCGCATGCTGGTCAACGTTGAGATATCATCGTGAAAGAGGCGCCAGACAAGAGAACGTGCAGCCACATGAAGCGGGGGAGAATGATCACCAGAAGCGTTCATTTTCCACAGTTTCTGGAACCAGTCCCGCAGTGTTGTTGAACTGAGTCCGCTGACGGATTCAGAGTTGTTGAGCGAATGAGTAAAGCTGGTAACATCCGAGGAAGTAAGTTTTAATTCGGGATCATTCAGGTCGGGAGAAACATCCTCATCGCTGACATCTGGTTCACCAAACAACTGGCTAGGGTTTGAACAGTAGAAATACGAGTAGAGTTTAAAAAAGCGGGGGAAAATCAGGAGGGATCAATGCAAACGACTGGTGAAAGAGAAACAACTCACATGCTACTGATGCGGCTGCACCCATAACCTAGACACCAGCTTGTGCCATTTGGTAATACATGGTTTCACTACAGATCCCCAAAATGGATTAGTACCACCAAAACAGCTCAGTGAACTACAGCCAAGCGGCTACAAAATTCCAAGCACTAGTCTGATGCTTCGAATTGGGGACGCACCAAACTAGCCGCTGGCAGCCGAATCGGAAAATCCTCAGGCTGTAGCATTTTGTTTGATAACAGGCGGTCGACAACTGGGGAAACAAGTGAGAGCAGGTAGCAATCGAGGCATGGAGAGCCACAAAATCGAACCAGGCAGCGGAAAACTAAAAACTAATGGGCTCAGTATCATCGTCTCGTAGCAACACTACCACGATGACAGGCAATAACAGAGTAGAAGTGGAACTTAGTGTAGAACTTTAATGCCCTAGCCAAACATTCATGGTCAATATGCCGAAACCTTGTCAAAGAGATATGGTCACAAAGAGATGGTTATCCAGTGGGAATAAAATGGAATCAGCAGAGTAGCTTCCTTGCGGCTTTCACTTCCTCACATCATAATCACCAGTAACCTATAAATAACTCGACATCAGATAGATTTTAAACAGACAGTTCAACTAGGAGACGACAGTAAACGCACCACCAGTACCGGTCGTGAGTCATACTCTGTAAGGTTTCGAGATGAGCGCAAGTTGAATCGCGTGGACACCAACCAGAGAAGCACGGCGGACCATCACCGCCTAGTTTAGTTGTTAGTGTGACTGTATTTCACACCAGTAAGTAAAGTCGTGTCCCTCGCGAGTCATGCGTCAGACATCGCCCAATGAACAAAACAAGGGACTCCTCGGTAAACAAGGAGTGGGCATACACAGCATACGATCCGGTGTTAGACGTTGCACCAAGAGACTAATTCGGTCATCACTGGATGGTCATCATCATTATCATACATTGGCTGAAGGTGAGAAATATACTTCAACTATTGTGACGCAAGACAAAATGACGAAAAGAAATATATTAAACATTATGGAATGCAAAAACCATTTAGCACTCTGCTTAGTAACATATTATGCTTCAAGATGGAGATCCTGGTTGGAAGGGGAAGAAAAGCGGGAGAGAGAGACAAGGAAAATCACGACACAAACGCCGCAGAGGTCGACTCCTCGCCCTGTCGGCTAGTGTATCCGGCCAAATGTGCTCATTGTCCTTAGGTCCCCAGTCCGGCAGTCAGGAAGCACCAACCGACGCCAACTTCGAAGTGAGGGACTTCATTCCCGTTGACAAAGTCACTGCTTGGTCTCCCCTCCTCCTCTTTCAACCGCACCCCGGGTGCGCAAACAAAGTATGTCGCGAGAGATGGTGGGCTGACATGCGCAACAAATGGCCCATCTATCGGAGTCTGGTGCGTGATATGCTGGTGCTGAGCGCATCACTAGCTCAGCTCAGCTCTTCGGCGAACGCATCCATCGTACACGTGGTGCCCCCACCAGACATCAGTTAAGCTGCGAAGGCAGCGATGGCCGAAAGTAGCTAGTCGATATATGTCTGTCGACCTGATGGGCCAGGTTTCAAAACCATATAGGAGGGTTGAACGGAGGGCTGCATTGTAAACTAAGCCCTTCAGGACGAGAGTGACATCAGGTCGGCGCCACAGACGGCAGAGATTGAAAAAAGCACATCGAGCCTTTGTTACACGGTTCGTGATCTCATCTTTAATACCACGGACGCTAATACAGCTGCCCAAGTAGCTGAATTTTTGAATCAGTTCTAGCTGATCACTAGCAGCGGTCAGCGCAGGATCCCAGCCAATTCTGGAGGACTTTGCACTTCGATGGAGCAAAGCATAGTCAAAACGATTAACAGACGATGCTAATCTGTTCAGGCGTCAAACACGCTCGTGGTTCACGCAGGGTTCTCACCAGATGTGAGCCGAACTGCGAAAGCACCGGCGGTCAAACGTCACTAGTCTTTTATGTCGGCTGATCAAAATGGCCAGGTTTCACAACCGTACAGTAGGGTCGAACGTACCGCTGCATTGTACACTCTACCCTTCAGCGTGAGAGTGATGTCGCGCCGGCGCCATAAGTCGTTCTCCTAGGAGCAGATCCACACCAACTAAGTCGTGTCCTGTAAACGCGATTTCCATGACTTCATCAATAGCGAAGTTGAAGAGGAAAGATGACAGCGGGCATCCTTGTCTCACACTGCTGGAGACATTAAAGGGCGGTGACTGCTTGCCGTAAGCCCGCGGTACGCGCGTATAATGCTCGGATAATATTTACACATTTCTCGAGCAGAACTTTCCTGAGCAGACAGTCCCAAAAGGCACATCGATCAACCGAACGGAAGGTACCTTTGATATGGAGGAACACCACAACGGTGGGCCGTCAGTATGCGTGACGGTACTCCAACAATTGACGCAAAGTGAAGATGTGATCTATGCAGCCACGACCCCGACGAAACCCGCCTTGCTTCTCACGAATCTGGCTTTCACGAGTACCAGTATGTCTATGAAGGATTACTGAGGCAAGTAATTTGTAGGCGATGGGATCACACTGATTGATTTATGATTGCCGTATTCCGAACGCCAGCCTCCAATAACGGTGCGGCTCCAGCTGGGTGGGACACTTTCCTGCACAAACAGTTTCAATAGGAATTTGTATAAACAATTAAGAAAAACAAACCTCCGAATTTTAAAAGGGCTGGAGGAAGATCATCTGGTTTCGTGGCTTTATTCAACTTCAACAGTCCGATCGCACGCTGGACTTCTGCGCGAGAGAGTGGATCCAAAGGGACAGCCCAGGGAGCAGGGCGATCACTGACCGGTAAGGAGAATAACAATTCCGCTTGATTAAATTGCTTTTCAAAATGCTCAGCCCAAAGTTCCAAACGTTTTGACAAGTTTGTAGAAAGTAGAAGTCACGACTAAAATTCACGCACAATAATATGCCTCGACGAGGAATCGAACCCCGGTCCACGAATTTCCGGTCCGCTGCTCTACCACTGAGCTACCGAGGGCTGACGATAAGGTGCGCAAATTTTAACACATGACTTCTGCTTGGTGCGCGACGTATTGCCAATGGGCTCACACTACCTGTCCTGGTGTTGCAGATTGGCTCACTCACCCGTCACTTCCCAATGGGCTGAAGTACCTGTCCTTCGAATGTCCAATGGGAAGTGACGGGTGAGTGAGCCAATCTGCAACACCAGGACAGGTACTGTGAGCCCATTGGCAATACGTCGCGCACCAAGCAGAAGTCATGTGTTAAAATTTGCGCACCTAATGGTCAACCCTCGGTAGCTCAGTGGTAGAGCAGCGGACCGGAAATTTGTGGACCGGGGTTCGATTCCCCGTCGAGGCATATTATTGTGCGTGAATTTTAGTCGTGACTTCTACTTTCTACAAACTTTACCCTACTCCCAAACATCCAACATTAGTTTTGACAAGTGTTGAATAGGCTGTCCACTCTCGTCATAAATTGTTTTGCCTATGTAACTTTTTCCGCAGTCACATAAATTGTTTTACTAAAGCCTGGTCGCCTGCTGCCCGTTTCCCCTATCAGACGGAATAACATCCGATGGCTACCAAGGACAGCGGCCACTTCCATCTCTGATGCACGAAGAGAGCATTAGGATTCGCGGTCTCTCTTCAGGCTAGCGCAGAGTTTTGCCCGGAGGGTTCTGCGAGCTTCATCGCGTGGACAAGCTCAAATCATGCGTTTTGTGCCTTCCAAGCGTAAAACAGTATTCTTGGATTTACCAGTGTGTTGTTTTCCTTCTGACCTTAAACGAAGTTGGAACTAGAGGCTGTCTGGATTGTCAGCCGCAATAGTGGCGACGGTTAAAATTAGTTCACTTGTCAAAAATGGAGTAACTGCAGTTGTAACACCTCTATCGTAAAATGATTTCCAACGATCGTAAAGAACGTGGAACGATGTCCATCCGTTATCTATGACTCAGCTGGCGTGCCATTGTTGTATCTTTCTATTCTTTTCTAATGCATTGCGGCAAAATAGTTAATGTGTTTTCCACCGCTAGCTAACGTGCGTAATGAGTATGCTGATGATGGAAACAGCACCACATTGGAGGTCGGTCTGTTTGACCGAAGGATCTCGGTTGCCAAACTATCTTTGACCAGAACTGACTAAGGAGCACTCCTCGTGTTGAGTGCTGGCCGTGTCAACAATCATGAAGTGCGTAGATGAGTAATACCTAGTAATGATGAACCCTTTCCATGTTATATGTGAGCGAAGATTGTAGCCAATGAAGTCAGATGTAGAGCCACGGAGTCGAATATTTGTCACAACGCTGTTATCTTTTATGTGTTTCGGATACAACGCACACATTAACACCAGGAGAGTGAAGAGAGAAAGTGCTGCTTGTTAGCCGACCAGGCCCGGAGTGCGGACATTAAAGGAATCTATGTGAACTGAGACTCTAGGCTTGATGATAAAGCTACATGTGCCGATGGCAGCAGCTGCGAGGTCAACGGCGGTCTCTCGCTCAATAGACAGAGAAAAGGAGAGAGAGAGAGAGAGAGAGGAAAAGAAGTAGTGCCGACGAGGTCGAGAGGGGTTTTGTCGGAGGTGCTCTGCCTTTAGCCTGACTCAACCGCCTGGCCCACAAGGCCGTGAGGTAAATGGAGGTTTGTTTTAGGGAATCCACCCGGAATCTTAGGCTTAATAGGCTGACTCCCAAGGCAGTGGAGGGCAAATTCAGCTAGGGATTGTGATTTCAGAGACCCATTGAGATTTGCTTGAGGTCTATCACATAATGTCTTCGAAGAGTTAGGATAGCTGACATGTGTTTTACGACCGTACTATGTTACGCAACTGCGAATATGGACAGCTGCAGGTGGGAGTTGGTGGGTTTGCACCAGTTTGACCAAATGCTGCCTGGCTTGAGGCGG